ATGGTTCGGAGATACAATAAACAAAGCATTGTAAATCAAACTCACTAAACTGAGCGTCTTGCAAAACAGCAGCGTTTGTTATCGCCCCCATTCGTTAAAATGTTTACGAACGCGAATGCTCTGCGCGCTTCGAATTGACCCTGAAGCGTCACGGTTGACGGGATCAGTGTGACGTGTGACAGGCTGGCGGTCCATCCCGTGACTGGTGGGTTTACTGTTTAAATCATTGTTTAGAATGGTGATTTTTTTGGTGGAGAACAGCTACACACGAAGGCAAAATTCTGATAAAAATTGTTGGTACCAGTACCAGACAAAAAGCATTTAAATAGCCTACGTCAGCAAACTACAGCAAATTTTCGAATAAGTCAGCTAACATTGACATTGAGCTGACTATGACTGTAATGATGTGCTAATAATCACTTCCGTAGTCCAGTCTGTGAAAAAAAGCTAAGAAAAAGCTGTCGGACGAATGTCGAGAGTATACAACGTGTCCCAAAATTCACGGATAAGCCGGCGCCGCAGGGTGGACCTAGTCATGACTGCTTTAGGAAAAATAAGAAAAAAAATCTATCTCAATTATTTTTTAAGTTACACAAAAATTATGAAATTCGTCGAAAATTGACACCCCTTATGAAATTTTACATTACCACGACTACAATTTTTCAAATACTTCAGTTTTTTTGTTTGTATCGGCAACTTAAGTAGTGCTGCTGTCCACCCCAATTATTAAAACCCTCAGAATCCTTGCAGTTTTTACACAAAAGTTAATCAAAATATGATATTTCCTTAAAATTTTGAACGATTTTTACTTACACTCCACTTTCACTCGTCGTTTTGTAAAAAAACAGTATGAACACTACTGCGGCAAGTTTTTTATAAAGTTGACGCAACTATCCAAGATTCCGAAATGGTATAATACACTAAGAAAACTAGTCGCAAAAAAGATATGTGTACCATTTTTACAAGCACTTCGCTTGTTAGTTAGTATGGGATAAATCTTGCAACTGAATTTAAAACCAGTTCTCCTTAACCAATTGAGCTGAAATTTGGTATACTTGTGTAAGTACGATGACAATGCAATATTATGGTACCATTGAGCTGGATGGAGTATGGAGGTGGCCATAAGAACTCTTAACAAAACGGCGGAATTACATCTAGTTTGGGTTCGTTGGACTTGTCTTTTCGAGCACTTTAGTGCTAGATGATGTTCAGGGTCCTGATGATGAAGTCAAGAGGTGGCAGGAGCTGGCCATAGGAACTCCTAAACGAAACGGCGGAAGCTTATCGAGTTTGGGTTCGTTGGATTTGTCTTCCCGAGCACTTAGGCCATGAGATTGAGAAACAACTAAAAAGCTTAAAATAAAGTTGTAATAAAAAAAACTTATTTAAAAACAAGCTTGACTTCGTTTGAAAATTATAATTGACTTCATCATCAGGACCCTGGACATCATCTAGCACTAAAGTGCTCGAAAAGACAAATCCAACGAACCCAAACTCGATAAGCTTCCGCCGTTTCGTTTAGGAGTTCCTATGGCCAGCTCCTGCCACCTCTTGACTTCATCATCAGGACCCTGAACATCGTCTAGCACTAAAGTGCTCGAAAAGACAAGTCCAACGAACCCAAACTAGATGTAATTCCGCCGTTTCGTTAAGAGTTCCTATGGCCACCTCCATACTCCATCCAGCTCAATGGTACCATAATATTGCATTGTCATCGTACTTACACAAGTATACCAAATTTCAGCTCAATTGGTTAAGGAGAACTGGTTTTAAATTCAGTTGCAAGATTTATCTCATACTAACTTACAAGCGAAATGCTTGTAAAAATGGTACGCATATCTTTTTTGCGACTAGTTTTCTTAGAGTATTATACCATTTCGGAATCTTGGATAGTTGTGTCAACTTTATAAAAAACTTGCCGCAGTAGTGTTCATACTGTTTTTTTACAAAACGACGAGTCAAAGTGGAGTGTAAGTAAAAATCGTTCAAAATTTTAAGGAAATATCATATTTTGATTAACTTTTGTGTAAAAACTGCAAGGATTCTGAGGGTTTTAAGAATTGGGGTGGACAGCAGCACTACTTAAATTGTCGATACAAACAAAAAAACTGAAGTATTTGAAAAATTGTAGTCGTGGTAATGTAAAATATCATAAGGGGTGTCAATTTTCGACGAATTTCATAATTTATCATATAACTTAAAAAATAATTGAGATAGATTTTTTTTCTTATTTTTCCTAAAGCAGTCATGACTATGTCCACCCTGCGGCGCCGGCTTATCCTTGAATTTTGGGACACGTTGTATATAGCTGAATCATTAATTTTATGTCATGCGACATACCTCTTCTTAAATATACCTTACTTTAAAAACAAAATAAATCCAAAATTATCACGTCGTTTCAAAATTATAAGAAACGATTACTGAAACATGATAATAATATTACGTCAGTATCGAATAATTTCCTACGAATTTGTTTACTTTACAGAACAGTAAGCACCTGTTCAAATTGAACATGATACGTGGATGAATCAGTTATGATAAATTAATCCGTTTACAACGCGAATACAAAAATAACGGAAAATACGATTAGAGATGATATTTTTAAAACACTAACATTTATAAAAGAACGTGAAACGAATTTGGGTCTGCCCCACCTTAGTGACGATCACCACTTGATGATGACAGGAGTCAGGATAGATGCTGGATCCAATGTCCTGGAGATGCCTTGGTAACCACGAGATATTACCTATGAAGTAGATTAGTATCACTCATATAAAATGGCGACGATGGGAAAAGTCTGTGCCGATCACTGCAATCAATGTCCAGTGCTGCAGAGTTATAGCTGTGCCCTCAAAGTGTAATTCACAGAATTTTCATGCATCCTTACTTTACTTATTCAACGTGCTTCATCGTAATTGTAGAGCCCCATTTTTTCCCCTCTTAATCGACTTCAAAATACAGCCGTTTTGTTACATCTCACCCAGGTGTACTTCGTATCGTAAACCAACGTCATCATAATTATATCGGCTCGGCTAAACCGTCTAAATTCTTCAAGAAAGAACTGAGCTTTCAAAGCGGCCCACACAATAAGATTTATACTCACCGATAAAAATACCACACACAAACGTTCTTTTGAGTCGCGCTCTGTTTCTTGTCATGTAAATAAATAAACAAAAGAGTGTGGAGTTATCGTGACGAAAACAGGATTGATAGTTTAAATAATTGAAAGCAGTCGGGAACAATCTGACATCGAGCAATAAGGGACTACGATGATGGACGGATAGCGAACTGTGTGAGCGATAAACATTCACTGTACGCACGAAATGATACGTCATAACGTGTGTGGTGACGTAAGATCACGTGCAGCTATTGATATTACCATCTCAGCTCTAAGACGAGAGTGCACTGACACGTATGCCAAATGAATTTTATTCTCCGAACATCCTATCTTCGTTTTTATTTTTCCTGAATGGGTTTTTCTATTTACCCCTGTTATTACATGCGGTTTTTCCCTAGGGCACCTTCATGGTGCCTAATGTTCCTTCTAAATGCAGGAAAAAAGAAGATATTTTTTTTATCAATGCTATATTTTTGGTTGTAAAATCGCTGAGAATTCGAAATGTTTAAAACTGCAACAGCTTCTCACTTACCTACTCGAGAAAACTCAACGAGTTTCAAGTTCCACCTCCATAAATACATTCAAAGTCAGCGTAACTACTCCAGAGCTTAGTGGGCACAAAGCATCCTTGAAACTTGTCCATCGTAATACTCGAGTTCATTCAACATCGATCCGCTTTGGATTTCAATCCGTATCGATACCTCTTATCTGATTCGTAGGATAAAAGGAATCGATACTTATTTTGGGGGCGATGCTTGAGATGTTACCTTCATTGTGGAAAGAAAATAAATAAGAACGCGTTGGATAAATGGACAAAATCCAATTATGATTAAATCAGGATAACTTTTGATAACACCAGTCAAATGATCAAATATTTATTATAGAAGTCTGAAGAAATGGTAATAGATAATAGGATTTAAAAAATGTAGGTGAGGATATAATCTTGTATCAGGAGGTAAATTTAATGCAGTTGTAAAGCTAAATTTTAACTTCAGTGTCTAACTTTACATGAACTTTAAACTTTTTTGCTTCCTGCCGCAGGCGCAGATTAAGAAGATTCCTATTACGGGTTCAAAGTAGAAGTAGAGAGTTAATTATTTTAAATCCTTCCTGGACATTTTTCTAGCTAAAAACCTGAAAGCTTTCATTACATTATAGGCACTTCTAAAACATGCTTGTTTGTTCGTTCAAAAAATCATAATAATTTTAAATACCTATCATGAAGAACATTTTGAGTCTTATAAGTAGGTACTTTTCTTTTCAACACCTTATAATCGGTAAAAGCTGTCAAGTGTGCTCAGACAAAAAAGTTCCTTTTCTTTTGTACTTCGTGACCTACTTAATATTCTTTACTCTATTTCATCTTTGAGTGGTGTCATGTTTCTTTGTAGCCAAAGAAACCCGGTCAATACGAGTTCCTGATTCAATTTGGCAGTGTTTTTCTGACGACCCATGCCTTATTATATCACCCTATGAGATAGGTACCGTTACGTTTTTATGGTCCCCGCAGTTTTTAGGATGCCAAGATAAAAAAAAAAGATATACTTAGCCATAATTGTAGTTTAGTTTAATTGTTCATTTCGAGCTTGTGCTTAAAATGTGTCAGAAAGATGCTTATAATAAATATGATCAGCATAGTCACTTTAGCATCGGCATACACATTATAATTACGCCCGTATTTACAAACGATGCTTGCTTAAGTGAATCAGCAAACCGAACGCACAGCGTTGAATCAGGTCTGTGATTGGTTCGTGTTTCACCCTGTGCGTCCACGCGCTCTGGGAGACATAGTAATGTTTGTGAATACGGATGCTAGTCTTGCAGTGTATTTTCAGACTAAGGCTTTTGATTAAATGTTCATAATACAATTTTATTGTTTCAGGATGCACAAATTACTTAGCGCAGCCCGTTTTAGAACACAACAAGCCGCTGGACCCAGCTTATGATTTAATAGTTGCTAGTAAGTATTTTAATAGTAAGGTTTCTATTCAGATATTCCTATGATAAGGACAAAAGATATGTTCGTTAAATAAGTATAAACATTAATCCGGGCCTTCTTATGGCAAGAGTAAGGCACTTACAGTGCAGGTTAGTACCATCCTAGACTGCCTCTCACCTAACATCAGGTGTGATTGCGGTCAAACACCTGTCCTGTTCTGCGTAAAAATGATTGGGATTACCTACATTGTTGCTTGTTCAATATTAGCTTTTATTGGACTCGTGATAAAGTTTATGTTTGTTAAAGATTACGTGAGGACGATGATCTCCTTCGGCATCATCAGCCTGTTCGTGATGGCGATGGGCTGTGGCTTCTCCATCTACACCTTCCGCAACCCTCGCTACATGTTCAAGAGGCTTGCGGCGGGAATACACTTCATCAGCAGTAAGTATTAAGGTTTATTATTACACACCTGCAGTCAGCTGTAGCAATTTGTCCGTTTTCAGATTTACCAATTCAAAATTCAGGGAATAGCTAGTAGGTAACTTAATTATACCTTGTGCTAGAAAAACCAAACAAAAGGCTATATGAATAAAAGTGATGAAAACATGATGTCTGTAAGTTCTCTCTGTAATGAGGCCAAAACTATCACAAGGATTTTTCTATATTTGTCTCTGCATGGCCATTAAGTTCACCTTTTGTGCCTTGTTCAATGTGCAGATACTTTTGAACCATTTATTCAACCGAATCTGACTATAATTGTTGTTAATTATTTTGTTTTTGTTCTTAGCTGCATGCACATTCGTGGTAGTGCAGGTGATGATGTCATCAGTGGACCACATGAAGAAGAGTGTAACATACGTGTATCCAGAACGTGCCTACCATTAGTAAGTATCTAGGTCTTACAATGATACCCTAGGTATTAAATTAGAGAGGTACAGTCAGCGTCAAATAGTTGACACCTGAAGCAGCCAACTTGTTCTAAGTTTGCAACGCGTCTATGTTACAATTGGAATAAGTTGTGTTATCAACTTTTTGGCCACTTTGGGGGTCACTAACTTATTTGACACTGACTCTACTATGATTCTTGGAGAGAATTGGTGAGAGCTTGGATACTACTGTTTCCAAATTTTTCATCCTACAAAATTTCTAACGTACTATAATTGTTTGAAAACCATGACTGAACAATGGAGCTTACACTAATTGAAATCCATTTCATTCTATGAGTAAGGACTAGCTTGGTGTGGGTGTCACAGAATCTTGTGTACCATGGCAATATAACTTGGTATGGTGAATACAATTTTATTTTATTCTCCCACAGTTTCCACATCAGTTTCTTCCTCGCTTGGTTCGTGGTGCTCGTCAACTTCTTCGCAGCTGCCTCCTTCCTCTGGTACTCCAGAAAGAGGAAAGGTGACAAAGCGGCCACAGACGAGCTGGCCATGGCCGACGAGCCGACCATCATTGGACGATGACGTCACTGCACCTTCACCTCACTTTTCTCTTTACTGAACAGTGCTCAACCGACCAATAGCGGTAGCGTTAGTCTTCCAAGTATTTTACGCAAGATTAGGGAACAGCTGTTCAGCTCACGACTGATATGGTTATTTTCTTTATACCACATTATAAAATGACATTTATATTTAAGGGTTCCGCGCATTATAATTTGAGCATTGCCTTATTTGTTTAAATCAAGGATAGCCTAGATCACAGTCCTGTCTTGTTATCCATCAACTTAATTCAAGTTGCATTATAAATAAATTACTTATCTTTAGATGTAGGCAGGTATATGTATTTCATTAAACGAATAAAAAGTGCCAAACTCCTTCATGAATGTCTAATCGGATTACAATACACAACAACATATCCATTTGGTTCGTAAATTAAAAAAATACATGTATTAGGATTAAAATAAACTAACAGTTTTCATTTTCACGGAAAATTACCCCTTCATTTATCGTTCAATCCTCATTTTTCACCGGATGTACATACCGTCGTTTGAACCTAATTTATTTTTCAACACTTCATCAATTATACTTAAGTTCTAAAATAACTCAATGCTCAAATTATCTATTTACTCTGTAATGCGTTGAAATCTTCTACGTTAAGCCTTGTTAATCTTATAAGTGATTTGCAACAGTAATTAGCAGTCGTTATGCTAGATTTTAGGGCCTCTTTGCAGTTAAGTTGATTGCCTACAGGCTGGTTATAGAACAAACATCTGCCATAAAAGCTCTTAAAAAGAAAAAAATAATAGGAAAGGTCTGTTCACTTTTTTAAAAACATTTTTCTTCAGTAATAAAATGAAACTTCTCGTTTTATTATTGGAGTAAAGAAATCCGCAAGTTTACCTATAGAGCTAAAGCAAAGAAATACTCAAAATATTGATCGTTTATCAATCAGTATTAGGGTTTCTGCTCGAGCTTTCTCGAACTCGAGAAAACTCGAGAAATTTGGCTTCATTCGAGACGAGAAAAAAATTACCGGAGCTCGAGAATTCTCGAGTTTCCAATTTGAAGCTTTAATATTCTTGAAAGCCTATTTTCTAAGACAAAAGTAAGTTTTTAATTATTTCATAGGTTAACGTTGCTTTTAGACTGGCCTAATCTCTCTTTTTTTAACTGATTTGATTTGCAATTCAAGTAATATCTTTATTTAGTTTTACTTTTGTTTCATATTTTTGATGCTGTTTTGTGTCGCTGAATAAAATATTTCATTTTCAATCGAAACTAAGTAATAACATGGATATAATGTTCACCAACGAGATGCTATACCTGACTCTGACTGATTTAAAGACTGAAAAATTTGTTAACTGTCTGTTACGTTAGGTACTCGTGCCTCCTCGTAAAGTTTATTCAAGTCGTTATCTTTTCCACTTAACATCAGGTGCGATTGTGGTCAAATAACTGCCTCGTTATTCATAAAAAAAAGAAATTTATTAAAAATGTTTTTTTGTTTATAAAAAAAACTATTTATCGTAATTTTGCTATTTGGACTTGTGTTTTTTAGAAAACAAGTGATTCAATTGTAGCTCCAGACTTTTATTGTTATTTATCCTTAAAGTACACGCGACTTTATGACTTTTGTTGTGATTATTAGTTAATATTAATTATACAAGTATTAAATATTAAGTCCACAAGGTGGACCGACGACCTGATAAAGGTAGCGGGAAGGCGCTGGATGCAGGCCGCTACCAACCGTGCGATGTGGAAGTCATTGGGGGAGGCCTATGTTCAGCAGTGGACGTCCTGTGGCTGAAATGATGATGATAATGATGATTATTAATTATAAAAGAAGATTTTATGTTTTGTTTCTTTCCTTACCAAAATAAGTGGTACTAAATTCTAATATTGATTGTTGTGCAATAAAAGTAGGTAGGTATATTAGATTAAAAAACCTGTGTTTTTATTAAATTTCAACCGATTTCAACAGTTTTAATTAAAAGACTCGAGACCCGAGAAAACTCGAGACTTTGGCCTCGAGAATTCCCGAAACTCGAGAAAAAAAATAGGTCGAGAAATCAGAAACCCTAATCAGTATAGTAGTTTTTATTAAAGTTTTAGTACTTACTCGTGGTTTTGGTGGCAGAATAAACTTAACTGGCAAAGAGTTTTCTGTGGCAAATAATAACAATATCGAAATGTTACCAATAACGCCGTGTAAAGGTTTTATTATTCATGTAAATTATTATTATTGCTTTTGATCTTCTATCACTTATTATGATGTGATTGTGGTTAGTGGACCAAATCAGATTATATCAGCTGAAATAATTGTTACTACTTGTAAGCAAAGGCGAATTGCTATGGCATTTTAAATATTTAATATTGAATATCTGTATCTATGTACTTCAGTGGCAATAATAACGCGAAATGCTACGTTGCAATGCCTTCAAAGACGTTATTAAACTTATAGGATTAACGAAGTATGTATATAACCTCGTTTTAATGTATTGAGTGCTTGCAAAAAGAAGCAAGTTTTTGGTATCAAACTTACATAAGGTCCATAGCACACTTATCACCCTGGAATGCGATCAACACCGCGCTGTAAACTGCGAGGCGTTACGGTGCGGATATTAGTGTGCGTTGCAGTACGAAGTTTCATATACAAAGAATAAACGCCTCGAGTTGATACGGTTACGATCCATTCCCAGGCTGAAAAGTGTGCTTTGTCCTTTATTTATACCAAAAACTTCGTCCTTGAGCGAGACCCTATCTCGGGTGTTTTCGAATGAGTCTGCCTATTGTTGTTTTGTACCTTATAAACTGCTGAAATGGGGATTTGTATATACAATTGATTCTAGTCATCGTACTTTTATATTACGCAATTCATATTTTTTGCATGGATATTTATGATTGTTCTGATGTTACACGATAAATTAATCTTTAAAGCACGATATCAAATTCATGTTGGAATATAATTTTGTTACGTTTAAAAATATTTATTATGATAGAGTTTTCATAAATATAACAAATCAATATAAAAGAGGTTAACAATTTGTTAAAAGACACTAAACTAAACGGCAGTTTGGCGTCATAAAATATTCATATTAAATAGCTAAGAAATATTTTATAGCTATAGCCAAGTAAACGATATTATTAGTTGCCAAATATCCGAAATCCGAAAGAACTTCAGCTATTTTCAGCAAAATGGAATAGTTGTGTAACTTCAAAACAATTATGGAACGAATCCAAAGGGTGGTATTGTTTATTCCAATAATATATTTGCATTATCGTGTGTATTGATGTACGTTCTTCCTATTTATAATTCTTTTTTATTGAATAAACTCTTGAAACAATTTCGTTCTTTGGTTTAATTATTTGCAATGATAAGTCCTTACATAGCATTATTAATTCATTAAAATTTATCGGAGTGAAAACAAAGAGAAACTGACAAACAATTATGTACTAATTCTTAACCTTACCGTAACGTAACCTTAGCTTTTAATTAGGTAAGTATTAAAGGTAGTCAGTAACTGCAAAATGAATAACTAATTCATCAAATTGTAGGCAGTAACAGAAGTCTAGCTTCTATCTAGCGTCTAGATCCTAGACCATCAGTTCTCATATTCGAAATACGAATTAATAAACAGCATAAACACCGTTAAGAAGACCTCAGTCAATTCTAACCCAACATTTAACACCCAATCCACCATCATAATATAACTCACAAATGTAATTCAACTCTGTTAAAAAGACATAAAATAACTCCGTCAAAAATCCGGAACCACACCGGTTGGTATGTGTCGAAAAAAAATGTTCACTTTCCTTCGCGTCGCTATTTCTGGGCCGCATTGTCGAAGAGCTGGCAGCCGCCCAGCGGTTGCTGTGACACTGCCAACGTCAACACAGGTTACTGTCCTAAAAACTAAAAAATGTACAGCCCTAATGAACCGGGCAAGTGAGCTGACGCCCGTATCACAAACATATTACTATGAGGTCTCACAGTGCGCGTGCACGCACAGGATGACACACGAACCAATCACAGAGCTCTATTCAACGCTGTGCGTTCGATGGGCTGCTTCAATTGAGCAAGCATCGTCTGTGAAGGGGTGTAAGGGGCGTTTCGATTGCGCTTAGAAAAGTTGATCTGGCAATTTCTTTTTCTGTCTGAAATTATATCTTTTTTCTCACGCTGCTTTCATGTGACTGTCATATGAAACTGAAAATTTGTTGCATATTGAGGTAATCTTATGCCCTGGATATACAAGGGAACAAAATGTCCCGTGCAACTCAGATTCGACGTGTTGCAGCAACACGTTCCCAAAAATCCCAAACTGCCCCGAGCTGTCTCTCAGTGTTACGCGCACCATTCTACGTGACTCGGGACATGTACTGCTCTGCGGGCAAAAACATTGTCTTTGAGAACATTATGTAGGTTTGGTTAGCGACATGTTCTGCAACATGTTGCTCCGTTTGTGCCCTAGTGAATTACTCAATTTGTAAGCATTATTTGTATCACACATTGTTTACAATCAATATCCTCCATTCGCCCTGAATGGTAGACCAAAATCTAAAATTCTTTTTCCCTATTTGGTTAGGGTCAAATGCACCAGAACTTCACTTTCAAATCTATTTACTATTACTAATTCAAATTCAAATAAATGTATACATAGATAGGTATTTAATAAAGATTTCAGGTTTTCAAACTTTACACAAAAATAGTCACGGGCATCCACTAGTATCTACTTAAAAATAGTTTTTAATTTCTAATCACTATCTATGCCTCTACAACACTGGCAGGTATATAACCTTCATAGAACCGACGCCATTATAAATTAAAAAGAAAAACGCTCGATTTTCGTTGACGCGTCACCATGACAACCGTACCGCGACGTTTGCGTTGTGCAGCTAATGGAATAAAATAATTTCGGATGTTACTAAACAGATCAATAAAGTTCGGGTAATTCAAGCTGATCACGCGATATGGCCGAGTCTAAGGTATGCCTTGATATTTTGCCTTCAGTTTAATTAATGTAAGTGACATGCAAACGAGGTTAGTCATGTCTCGCTGTGCACGAATTCCGTCGGGGTTTCTTTATTTGCATTTAAATGCCTGAAGATTATACGATAAAAGGGGTTCACGTTTCAGCTTTTGTGAAGTCCTTTGCATTTCTCGTTGTGACAGTCTCATTACTGATGGAATTCTCTTGATGGATGGATTTACTTAATACCTAACCTTTTAAAGCTGGGTCTCTGTGAACAATTAAGCAGCTTAGTAGTTCTATGATTATACATAATACCTATTATAATAAATGAGTTGGATTATAAATACCCTAAGAATTAGATGAATGATGTATTATTTCTGTAAAGCATGGGTGTCAAAAGGGTTTTGCTATTATTTATTAGGTCATTAACTTAATCAATGAAATATAGGTACGTAAATAGTTAAATACTTCCAAAGTGATTTCTTACTGAAACTGCCTCTTTGAGACCATATTGTTTTTAAGTTTCAAGATGATATAAGCAAAAAAAAACACACTATACTTAATTATAGGAAAATAATCATTTACAGGGTGGTAAGAAAAATGCCAAAGGAAAAAAAGGTCAAATTCAAGATGAAAAAGAGAGTTCGAGTGGTTCGAGCGGTACGTAATATATTTTTATTAATTTATTATGAAACTGTTAATCCTCCACCAATGATTTAAGGTTCAAATAAAATGTGTTTGTCCTATAGCGTAATTAATTGATGTCCATCCAGACATTGAACCTTGTGTTAAAGACTTTAAAGGCCAAGCTAAAAACATTTTTTTCCATCAGTCAGCATTGCAGATGACGATGAAGACCAGATCGGTCATGGTGTGGGCACAGCCGCCATTACTGTAGACCGGGACGAGTACCTCCAGGCACATAGAGACCTGACCTTCGACTTTCGACACATTCAAATGAAAAATAACATACTACATCGACGATTGGCTGAATATTATAAGTATGCAATATATTTTACAAAATACATATAGATGTCTCTTATAAAATAAGGCTGGTTTTCAAAACTAGTAAATAATTTTTTTAACACATCGTTATGCAATATCCAACATCTGGCTTGTCTCTTAAATTAAAAAGTGACTCATAATAATTTGTATTGCCTATTTTATTACCGATGAAAAGTCCTAATAAATTATTTTCAACCTTCACTCTAAGATACTAGGTAAGCTAAAGTTTACAATCCAAAAGAAAGGACTCTAGATACATAGATATAAAAGTAACTTTGGGATGTTCAAATTCTGTAATAATTATTGGAAGTTATATGCAGGAACCTGGAAAAGCAGGATCCGGTCCTTTGAATATAGAAATTTCATAAAAGCACGAATGCAATTTTGTAGAGAACGGTAATTTGATCGAACGTAGGTGGAGGGCAGGAGTCATAGTTACTAGAGAGATAGGCTAAATAGATAGGTAGTCTACCCTGTATGTTAATCTTTTAAATCGTTAATTAAGAAATTAAATGTGTTTTTCTTTAAGGATATTTATTGGGCTTTCAAATAACACCAATATTGTTGGGGCACCATGATTGTGTCAGTAGAAACGAGTTTTCCTGTAAACCGTAGGTGGGCTGATTTTTGTGATGACCACTATAGAAAGATAGTCTCGAAATCACTTCATGTGTTGGAAAATAAAGGCCTTACGCTATACACTCATGGCAACCATGCCCGTACCATGCCCGTAGAGGAGAGACGCTACCAAATTCATTAATTGAAATAAACTAATCACAATGAATCAAATAAATAATATTTCAGTAAACTTCAACTAAAATATAAATCGCGATACATTAGGTGAAATAAATGTTTGTTTACGCTGTCATTCATATGCCAGCCAAATGTCTTTATTTTCTCGCACATCTTTTATGATATCTCATAATGGGATGATTTATTAGCGATATTAAATACCTTTATCATTACTACGAGCACAATGGTCATTGGAATGAAAATAAATTTTCATTTAAGTGTTCTTTCGCGGAATAGATTTTATTTTTGGTAGTTATAAATGGTTTTCATTGCGTCAATGTGTGAATTTGAAGGTTTATTTATACTGGTTGGAAATTATAAAATGACTTCTAACTAATTGAGAATGTTACTAGGTATGCAAAATCACTTGAAACCTATGTTACAGTTAAGCTTTTACATTTACAAATACATTAGTTTTTATTTCATTCAAAAATACCCAGTAGTTATGATTTTATAGGCATTCAAAGTTCGCTTAAATATTGAGTCCCGCCGACGGTCACGTGACCCCGTGTGACGTTCACAGCGTCCGCTCACTAGAAAACGGATATAAACATACTTAAATATTTTTTTTTTGTAAATACAAACTTATTATACATATTAACACCCAGACCCATCACAGAAATTAAAATTAAACCAAACCCAAACTTGATGCGATTGTGTCGTTTTATTGCGAATTACCTTCCAGCTCCATCATTAGACCCCGATTACTATATAGAATTAAAATACTCATCAATACAAAACGAACGAGCCCAAACTCGATGCATTTAAGTCGTTTTATTATAGAGTTCCTATGGCCACCTTCCAGCTCCATCATCAGATCAGCTCCATGTCATCATAATATTGCATGGTCATCCAAATCACATGTGTTTGCGAAATTTCAGCTTAATCGGTTGCCTGGAAGTGGGTCTTAATTCAGTTTGCAAGATTCTTCCCATACAAATATGAGCCAGTCGTTGTAATATGACGTCACGCGCATAAAATGGCGGGCCGGCCGCCGCCCGCACTTTTAAAATTCAATATCTTGGAAACTAATTGACGTATCGAAATAATTCTTTCACGTGTATTTTTTATTTTTAACAGAGAATACAGAAAGCTAAAAAACAAAATTAGTGAACATTCTTCATTAAGTAACAAATAACCCAATAATTAGTGCTTTATAATTTTCATAATATGGACCTTATGCAAGCGTCTAAAAGTATTTTTGTCCATCGATTCTAACCCCACTTAATCATAAAACCAATCGGGGCCCCAAGCAATATTTAGGACGAAGTTAACAAAAACCAAACAAGACCGTAATAGCCCTTTAGGTTGTTGTATAAGTCCCAGATTTTAATTAAAGCCGTATTGTGACTAGATTTATTGAGCAATCGCAGAGTGTAAAACCGACGCTGTTCCTGTCTGAATGCTTTCAATCTGTCAGTACAAAATGTCACCTGTTAACTCACAGTCTAGTTTAAAAATAGAAAATCGCTAGAAAATAATTCAATTTGTTAGCATGTATATGTATAAATATTATGTTCAATATGATTTATGTTTACAGAAAACGAAAATTAGAACACGTATTAAAACCGTTGGAGGGCGCTGTTGATTTAGAGGAAAAATATCAACAGAAACTTTTGTCTTATGAAGAACTCAAAGAGAAAGAGGAGCGCGAAGTTGCCGACGTAAGTGGGAAGCCTCGTTTATTATTTACTCACCCTAATTCGGGGTACACCCGCGTGGCCAATCTCTTGTTATGATCAAGCGACGTGTGCGTAAAATCTTTGTGCTGAAGAGAATGAGACATTTCCAGAGCAAAATAATTAAGTAATGAGGGTTTTCGCGAATGAAAAATCCGCCAGATGGCAATACGTAGACGCGAGGTCCAAATGCTGCATGATTGGTTATTTTTGACATGACATTGACAGATATGTCAAAATCCACCAATCACGCAGCAGTCAGACCCCACATTCACGTCCCGCCATCTAGCGGATCTTTCATTCGCAAAAACCCTCATTAAAAGAAGCTCTTATTGACGTTATCATACATTTAGGACTCGCTTTTGAATCGGTAGTTTTAATGTTAATAAGAAAAATTATTAACCAAAGTTTTGGCCCACATTTTTCTCCAGACAAACGATTGAAAGACCGCTCGTAACTCAATCATAAAACCAATTATGCTTATAGCCACAAGTATTGAGTATGCGAAGAGCTATTCGGGAGTTTCAAACAAGCTTATTATAAAATCATCGGCTTATTCAAGGCTTGACTTCGAGACATTCAGTCACGTTGTCAACTTGGAACTTGGCTAAAGTTTCACTTACTAAAGCCACTGGAGATATTTTAATTAGTTGGAAACAATGTTAGGAAAGACCTTGTATAATGCCTATAGTTCTAAAAATAAAATTACCTGATGGTATAAACGTAAGAGTGTATGTTTGTGTTACCTAACTAATAGTTTTACAAATACTTTTTATGTAGATAGGTAAGTAGATTTACTCTCAGAGACAAAAATTTACGTTATATTAAGTTTATTACTAACTTCAGATTAAATCCAAAGTAAATGCAGTTGAGGCACAATACGCTGAGCGTTTGGAAAACGCTGAGAAGAAATTCGATGGACTCCAGACCCTTGAGAGAACCACAGGCACCGGGCTTATCTACTCGAAGAAGGGAAAACCAATAGCTGATAAGGTGGGGTGTTTCAACATAATCCTTAAGGCCCGCCTACACGGACCGCTTGAGAAGTTAGTCAGTGATCAATGTACACGGATCGCTCTTGCAGTCATAGTCAATTGAAATTTCACCGTGTTGCCAATCGCCCAAAGCAATCGCAACTGCTCGAGCGGTTCCGTATAGGTATTGTGTGTACGTAGAATACTGTAGTTTTTTATGCAATCACAGTTTTAAGCTGTCGATACTAGCCGCTTTAAGCTGTTCATGTATGGCATGCCTAACTTTTCAGCCTAAGATATGCAGTACTTGTACTATGGTGACTAGTTAACAGACAAACATTATTATTTACCATCACATAGTCACAAATCATAAATTTATGATTAAAACCTGCTTCTGTTTACGCAGACTGTGGAAAGATTCCTAACCCTCCAAAGGCGCAAGAGCGAGCAATCATCGGCTCTGTGTCTGAGATACATTAGAGTCCGAAATGCTGTGGCTGAATTGGAGGCTCATGTCCGAAAGCTGGAGATGCTGGGACCAGGTCTATACGTGGCTCAGTATGAACAGCTGCATATCGATAACCAAAACTTCATGACGAAAATTGAAGGTAAGGACAAAGGATGTACCTACTGTATTGTTGATAGCAAGTATCGATATCGAGATCGCTTCTATCGTGGTCATCTAAAACTAAATATTTGTCTAAATCTAAAAAATATGAATACTAAATTTGTCTTAAATATAGACACGATCATAACAAATATGAACTTTTTGGAGCCTTTCAACAGTTTTATTACAATGGGGTTTCAGTTTGTCAGTGAACATCATCAGAAATTAACGTAGGTAATTATTTCGTAGATATCATTTTGAAAAATGTAGTCACTACCTACAACAAGTAGGTAAACTGGTCGAGAATGCTTTAGTGCATTAAGTTCGTCTTATGTACAAATTTATTTTGGCATAAAAGTTTAAATAAAGAAATAAAATAAATAAACAAGTGAAAACCTTAGGCTGGGTTGCACCATCATAATTTAACTTTGACAAACGTCAAAAATCTGTCAAACTCCATACAAAAAGCACCGGTTAACGTCATATTTACCGTTAAAGTTAGGTGGTGCACTAAGGCTGAGCTTAGTGTAGACTGTAACTTTCGTTAAAAATTAACGGCCCGCAGATAATCCAATAACCCACTTAATCCGCTGTAAATAGTTCTGAACAGTGCTGAACATCCGATAAATGGTATTATCGGATTTATCCCATAAAAGGAACAAACAAGACTGCTTCCTGCCCGCCTAGGTATTTTAATTAAACTCGCTACACCCAAAAATAAAAGCTGGCCACTTTGTATTAAAGAATGTTTTTGTTCAGCAAGCTCCTCGCCGGTAGTGTGCTGTTTTCGAAACAAAAATGAACAACCAGAGTTTGCTTTGTATTCAGGCTAGTACCGTAGATATTGAATGATTCTTCTTCGATGGAGCTAGCTTTAAAACTACGAGACACTACTTTTCAAATTGTGCTCAATTGATACTGCTAAAAAGAAATATCGCATCTGTATTCATTGGATGGGTAAAAATAAAATAACGTCCACTCGCATCAGTGCTCCGTCAAGTGTGAAACATAGTATTGGTTTAATGTCTTGTTTGCCAATAATGTGACAGCTGGGAGAAGTGTTTGCTTTGTAAACGTAGCGGAAAATTATATTTCTGTTTAACATACAAATGATAAAAGTTGCGAAGGTTATTTTTTTATTTTAGAAAGAAAAAATCTAATTAAATTGTTATGGAATGAGAAAATGTAAAGTATTGATTTAGGGAGAGATTTATTTTAATTGTGCTTAACACTGTATCTAGCTAATTGCAATCAATAATTCAGAACAAAATGAACTGACAATCTATTTTTGTACTATAAAAGTGGCATCAGATCCAGCTATCGATCTCTGAATAGTAATGAATAGCTTTGATTGTACGTGACTTTTGAAAATGTAAAATGTAGGTATCTTTTTTCAAAAATAATAAAATACCTAGGTACCAAACTTTTGTTTTCTTGTAGAGAGAGAAGATGAGCTGATCAGGAATCGCGCAAAGTGCACAGAACACAATCAAATGCTGGCCCACATTAGAGAGAAGATGCATCACACCGACGAAGTCATAGACTTCACGGAGTGCGACCTCGGAGACGCTGAGATTGAGTTCTTGAGGGCCAGAGAAGATCTTGGTTCAGTAAAGGTAATACAGATTTTTATTTTTTCACATCACATTAGCCGTGCTACACTGGCCATCAAGAAACTGTGTTCTTTTTTCTCGACGACCAATATCGTGCTCTTTTGTTTTTTCTCTCGTGTCAATTTTCGGATTTTTACTTAGTATGCATTTCCATTTTCCACGGGTCAATGTTGATAATAATTATCTACATTTTATAAAAAGTCGAATATAAGGAATTTATAAAAAGTCGGGCCTTAAAAAAATAGTCGAATGTTTTAAAATATTTAGTCATTTTAAATACTTAAACAAAATGTAAGCGAAAAGCGAAACCGTTTTTGGCGATTTCAAAATGGTTACAATTCAATAATTGCACAGTAAATTGTTTATTTAAATCATGAGTTCAACATATTCAAAATAAACGGTCCCAAAATGGTTACAATTAATTAATTGCACAGTTAGTTATTTATTTAAATCATGAGTTCAACACATTCAAAATACAGTCCCAAAAATGGAAATGTATTTACTCGGTGCGAGGCTCATTATTAATGTGGTTTCCGAATAAACTGGAGTTCAGCGATGCCTTTTATTTGTGTTTAATTTGGTTCGAAACAACAAAGACATATCGGGGCACATTTTAAAAGGCTTTATCCATCACAATTCAAATGACAACGATCCAATACATGTCCAAAAAGTATCACTTTTTCATTTCAAAAGCCACATGCTTCACGATCCTCACGAAACAGTTCTTGATTTTGTAGATGATGCACATGAGGCCCATTTTTGACCGGCTTCAAAAAAATAATTTCGGTGTTCAACTGTACTTTTTTATATTTCACGGGTTTTCTTGTTCAGAGCCGTCGCGACAAGTTGCGCTGGTCGCTGGAGGGTGAGCGACTGAAGGCAGGCCTGCTGACGAGGAAGGACTTGTTGCGTGACTTTCAAGACGCCACGGATGAGGTTGGTACACGCTACCCAATACAGTTCAAGGAAATATAATTTAGAATGTTTGTAAATACGATAACTAAACTGCCTTCAAGTGTAGTAGTAAACCACGTGTCTCAGACTCAGAGATCCTAGATTAGATTCCCAGAGGAGGCAACATTTTCAGCTATTATCTTATCTAATGCTCTTGCCATATCAACAAAGTTCCAGCCAGTTCCAAGTAATTTTACTAAGTTGTCCTTCTGATACGGAAGGGTTGAATATTCCAGGTTATTCTTGCTTTTCCACCAGGCGATATTTAAGCCAAGGGCTTCCCCAAAAATATAATCATTTTGTGGAATAGTGTATGTGATTTGTGTTATATTTTGATTTCATTAATATAATTATTTTGCGCATCGCTAAGTTCTTCGGTAAAATAAGCCCGCCTAATTTACTTAGAAGATTGGTAATTTCTATTAGGGCGGACTGTACGGGTTTAGGGCTCTTACTAAATTTGCAAATTTAAAAGCATTTGCGTGCTCGCTGAAAGCGGTATCGATTTTACATCAAGGCCGTCATGTTTCAGGTAAACTTAATAATCATTTATCCTAAAATGTAGATTTTTAAATGAAACATGTCTAGTCCTTATTCGCATGGAAAAACATGAATAAGAATCTCAACTTTGTATTTACAGAGAACAATTGAGTATACGTTTATGTAAGCAAAAAACGCCTTTGTAATCACTAAGAAGCCATCGTGCCTAGTTATAGATCGTTTCATTCACGAAGACGCGCCCTACCAATTTTTGGTCGAGGGAAGTGCGGTGTGTTTAATCCGAACAATCCGAGCGTCATTAATATACCGATAACACTCAAACATTAGCGGAAGAATGGTGAGAATATTGGCTGCATACTTTTGGACTAGATGGCGCTGTGAAATTGTTCAAAGATTTGTTTATTTATTTATCCGCTTTGAGTTTTGTTTCGTGAAGAAGAAAAAGAAGCGTTTTGTTTCGAGAGGGAAGCTTTGTTGTTAAATCTATACTAATAAAAGAGGAAAGATTTAATTGTTTGTTTGTTTGTTTGGAGGCAATAGGCTCCGAAAAATAATTCTTTCACGATTTAGAATCCTAATTTTTTTCTATGTAGGCTATAAAATATTTTCAAAAACTTTAGTACAAAATCTTTGATAACTTCTAAAATATACATAATATATCCTATTGATAGATGACGTGCTTCGTATTTTATTAAAATAATTACCTGACTATGTTAAAAAGGTGTGGAATGTTATTTTGGAGATAACTTGGTTCCATAGAAATATAGAGAGATGCTAAGTAATGCGCTGAGTTCGAAACTCAGTGTCGTATTAGAAATTCACACACACAAAGAAATCAAATTATGTGCTCATTATCCACTGCGGTATCAGTATTTTTTTTTTTATTTATTTATTATTCATTATATTGCCCTGTCGATGACATTGACAGTGGGGCGCCACCGTCGATACCGGATTGCTGGTTCAGATTTTTGCCATGTTGGAAACCATATAGTTGAACGATGGTAGCGCCCCCCTGTCATTGAGTTTGGCGGGACAGTTCAGCGTGGGTCATCTATATGTTAGCGGCACGGGAGGGNCTTCCCGTTCAACTACCCTCCACGGAATCCCCCGGTGGTGCTAGCATAATGGATATACTTTTTTTATAATTTATTTATTAAATTAAATGCATGGTACCTACTTATACATAGTTACACCCAGATCCGTCAAAGAAATTAAAATTCAACATTTCAATTTCTGCTCGGCCGGCCGACTCGAAACAGCCTCTCGGCGTAGTATCAAATGTATTTGGTCGCCGTACAAATCACCGCTTTACGACACGAACGCACGTAAACGTCACGGCGGGAAAAATGACACAGGTCCTGCCTTGACGGGCGCTCGCGCCATACTAATCAATGTCGGCTTGCGCATTGTAATTTATACTGATATTCACATCAATATTTTGACAAAGTGGTTTCTAATATTTAAACAATAACTGTAGAAATCAATTCTACAATGAATATTCTTTATTTTGGGATACTTTTGTTGCAGTTATTGCTGTGTTTTTAAACCAAAAACCACGATCAAAATGTGACGTTAATCTTCAAATTTGGCAAATTATTTTTAGATTTTACTCAATAATGGTAATGAAATTCAAAAATCTATTTCATTAATGGACTACAAGAATATTTATGTCCGATGATTACTATATATTTTTAAGCTTATTATATGAGCATAAATAATAGATACAGGACTTTGAAAATGAGTCTGCGGCAATTTTTCCGTAAAATGGTTGTGGGAGATGGGGCACTGTGAATTAAGCAAAAGAGTTTTAGTAAATCCGTTTCATTAATGGTCAACACCAAGGATTGACCTATCTTTCGCAGTTATTCAATAATCTCTGGGTGTTGCTTAAGATAGTAATTCATGCTTCCAAAATCTTAGAAATTCGCACGAAAATGTAAAATGGCTCTTAAATGTGAACTTAAAATCTTTTTCAGCATTAAAACCATCTAAGATATTTTAGCAAGTAATAAATAAGCAGGTCCAAATTCCAAGAGCTCAAGGTATTTAACTGAAATTGTAAGACGCCGCGCAAATAGAAAATGCTCGCTGCAAATAAAACTCAAATGCATTAAGGACGTTGTTTGAAATGCCTTTGTCTTGGGGAACGTCCACAATGTGAGCTTCTTGTATTTGAACATTCTACAAATGCTTCCAGTACATTCGAAGTAAACATTCTTGAGCATTGAGTATGAGCATGACATTCTTAAGATTTCCCAAGAGATAATTATGATTATTTTTTAGAATATATTCATGTGTACCTATGCAGTTAATGCTGGATCATAATTTGATTGCCATCCAAATCTTTTTTTTTACTTCTAATCTGTAAATCAAAGGTCCTAATATGAACTTAAGATAATGACTACACACTTGTAGTCATGGGTCACTACCCAAATTGGATGGGTTAAACGTTGTAAAAAGCCAAACATAACGCGAGTCCCGAATATTAATGAATGTCGTAGAAATTCACCACATTTCAAACGTATTGAGGACGCACACCTGCTTGATGAACTGACGACCTCGGAAAACGTAACAGCTGGATGATAAAAGCTTGGATGCTTTGTGGTGTTCCTTACGTCCACAGTGGACCTCTACAAGCTGAATGACGAATACCTTCCCTCTGCAAAAAACACGTCCCATCAAATGTCCAGTGTGATCGTAGCCTTAGACGCAAGTCCCATTTCCGACCAGTAAGTGGATAGACGGAGGTCAATTAGCCACGGGCTAGCGGGCCATGGAAGACCCCTACCTAGATACTAACAACCAATCTGGGCGCGTTAATAGAAGAAAACTGGTTCCATTGATTACTTATTATAATTTGAATAGCATATTAATACACTGGCCAAATAAAGTTGTACAAAGAGCTTTGGAAAATGTAGTCATCATCATCATCATCATTTCAGCCATAGGACGTCCACTGCTGAACATAGGCCTCCCCCAATGCATTCCATGTTGATCGATTGGCAGCGGTCTGCGTCCAGCGCTTCCCTGCTACCTTTACGATGTCGTCGGTCCACCTTGTAGGTGGACGTCCCACGCTGCGTTTTCCGGTACGCGGCCTCCATTCCAGAACCTTTCTGCCCAATCGGCCGTCAGTTCTGCGTACTATGTGCCCTGCCCATTGCCACTTCAGCTTGCTAATCCGTCGGGCTATGTCAGCGACTTTGGTTCGTTTACGGATCTCCTCATTTCTGATTCGATCTCGCAAAGAAACACCAAGCATAGCCCTCTCCATAGCACGGAAAATGTAGTAATTTATGTTAAAATATCCTGAAATAGAGTTATAGGTCTAGCGCTTAATTGAGTCGGTGCCTGAGGTACGGAAGCGGTACGGGAGGGGTGACATTGACATAATATTATGACGTGAATGTAGTAATTAATTTATGATAAGATATTATCCGGGGGATTCCGTGGAGGGTAGTTGAACGGGAAGCATGGTCGATCTGTTTTAATGGTTTCAATTTATTATTTAATGGACTTTAGTGTACAAATTTGGTGTTATTTTGTGTTCTAAAGTGCAGTGAAGTGATAAATTATAAAAAACATTGAAATACTTCGAATTTGAGCGCGCATCGAGTGTCGAGTGGGTTGTCGTATGAACAACCCGCTTTGGACCCGGTGGCGTCTTGAAACCTGCTTTCGGGCATACTTAACTCCACGGAATCCATGAAACATCAATAGAACTGAAACACCCACGTTCTATTGACAACTATGTCAATTTTCACTCGACATTGGCAGAAATAAACCTCCCAGAGAGGTCAGGTTGCCATTAAACAAAAAAAAAGATATTATCCTACAATAGAGTTACAGGTCTAGCGCTTTACAAAATCGGTGCCTGAGGTATGGAAGCGGTACGGGAGGGGTGACATTGACATAATATAAAGTCGGATTCTTTAGAAATTTCCTTATATGTAAACAAATTTATGGCCAACTGACATTAAAACATTTTTAATCTGTGCCCTAGTGAGGCGACAAAACCTCTCGTTAATCGCGGATTGAAATTATTGTAGTACTTACGTACCTATAGAAAGAATTTATAATGCTTTATAAAGCAATGCATTAAACAATTAGTAGTACATTCAATGAAGAAAAAATTAATTGTTGATTAAGACCCTATTTAAATCTATTTAAATACAATCAGTAATAAAAATGATGGAATAATTGAAATAAAATTGATTAAATTTACCGATTATTGTCTATGACTTACAGGTTACAACACTGATGTGTCAGAGACAACATGGAGATAACACATAATTTTAAACTTCAAGTCAATTTGACAAGTCTCACAAATTTTCATCGTCCACATATTTTGCTAAAATAATTTGTTTAAAGATTGATTCCAAACTTGTATAATCGTGAGAATAAAGTTGGTTTCATGGGCTTGTGAAATAACGTGTATGTTATTATGAACACGTAAGTGATTATGGTGTAATTGTGTGCACAAGTGTTTGTTTACATTTAAGGAAATTTCTAAAGAATTTAGGTATAATTATGACGTGACAGAGCATACAAATCTAAAAGAAATCTGAAGTCTCGCTGAAGGTTGACGTCTTAAAACACCCTCCCGTGCCGCTAACATATAGATGACCCACGCTGAACTGTCCCGCCAAACTCAATGACAGGGGGGCGCTACCATCGTTCAACTATATGGTTTCCAACATGGCAAAAATCTGAACCAGCAATCCGGTATCGACGGTGGCGCCCCACTGTCAATGTCATCGACAGGGCAATCCAGTATTTTGGAACTATACCTCGGGCACTGGACTCAGTTAAACGCTCGACCTATAAGTTTTTAAACAGTATTTTTTTAATAATGACTGACAAAAAGTTTCCGTGCTGAAAGCAGTTTCTAAATTATTTATTTCTGCAATAAAATTATTTGAGTATCAAACTTTGTTACCTCTGAAGAGTAATTTATTGTTCAAATGTAAACTGGCCTAGCTTGCCAGAATTCAGCTATTGTTTTGTCGTAAAACAATTTGATTTATAATAGAACGCAAAATTGTTTGTTGAATGATGAGCTATTTTCGCGGAGCACACGCAAATGATAATAATATTTACATAAGAGAGTGTATTAGTTATAAAATAGACACTCTTAGCCCTCCAATAACCTAGGCTTGTCATCTCATCAATGATTCTGAAGATTTGATGCGTTTCTCAAGTGGTGGATGTTTTGGTAGACCAAAACAGGCTAGCTAGAGCCTAAAGTTTAAACTGTCAAATAAGTTAGGTATTCAATAAATGTGTTATTTTTTATTTTATGAAATAAAGCTCAAACTTTGATTCGAACTAAAAATGCATGCTCTAGATTCAAATAGAGTTATTATTTTCCGTTCAAAAAATTATCTAATAATTATATGTGAAAGTGATTGAAAGTTTAGTCACTAAGCGAGTACCTCTTCAACATAGGAAATGCATAGGTTTTTTTAGCTACTCGCCAATGATGAGAATCCTACACATAATTACCTGAAAATTAAGTATCTGAGCACTTAATCAACAAATTATACTTACCATATTAATGAACATGGTCTGTTAAAACAAACAATTTGAATTGCAAACTATAAGTTTAATTTGTAATTACAGGTGGTGTGCCTGAGAGAAAAGAAAAAGCAACTGGAGGCAGAAATAGCGAAGACGACGCGTGAACTGCGAGACGCACGCAGGCGCATGCAAATACACCACGCGATCGCGAACCAACAGGGGAACCACACTGGTGCTTAGAAGTATACTTATTTATTTTAGTTATATTTATTGGAGTTAGCGGTTAATTAATTATGAATATTTTGAGAAATGTTTTGATGTAATTGATTTTGAATTTTGTGAGATGATTGGCTTTAAATAAATATTTATTATCGTGAATCAATTTTATTAGCAGCCTTAGCTCCAATTTAAGTTCTGGAAATTAATTTAACTTTTTCAAATACCTATGTGTGTTTTTCAAATCTCATGTCCACAGATTATACTCAAAATGTATGCTGCTAAAAGCTTATAACATGGTTCTGACAGACAAAAGGCTTATCATGTTTCTCGAAATAAGGAATCATTCAAGCCCGCAGTGTTCAAATTAAAACTTCTTGATCTTAATTACCTGCCTGATGCCAAACAAAAATTCTCACCAAAATTTCGTGATGAAAAGGTTTATCACCAATAAACCAGTTCAAAAATGTAGGTAGTCGTTTATTAGCAGCGCAGGATCCACCACTTTATCGCTCACATCGACAGCGCGGCGTAACGAAGTACGTATCGCTTCGGCGATTTCATTTCCCTTCTATGTCCGTTCATATCCGCTAAGACTCATTTAAAGTGCCTGGCATCGTTTAGCCGGTTGTATCGTACTTTTTTGGAAATGAGATTTTCATCCACACATATTTCTACGCGAAAAAACGAAGCTCGTAGATTGGCTATTTCAAAAAGAACATGATTCTAAAGCCAATCTATTGCTTGCAAGCAAACAAAAATGGTATTTGGGATTGAACTTCTATTATTTCATCTGAAAGAACTGTAATAGAAAACTTCATATTATCGTGTTTTGAAAAACTCATCTACAAAAAATATTTTACGAACATTGCACAATGCACATTATTAAAAGCAGAATAACGAAGTTCTGTTTTCATTTGTCGAACATCAAACTTCCAATGTTGTGTTTCGAATCCATACCTGATAAAATTAAACAAGGTAAAAGTGGGACTAAACAAAAGCAACTTCAGGGTAAACAGGTAAAACTCGGATAAAACGGCTTAGATGCACCTCCTGCAACCCCAGTGTTGGTACGAAACTTTTTTAATTTCCCCAGGCTGTTTCCTGGGGTTGCCGTTCTTTGACAGTAAATTATGGCGTGACTTTTTCATTTGTATTTTGTTTTAATAAATGTTGGGATGCTTGAGTTTGGGCATTCTATGATGTTATCGGTAACAATAGCGGTTAATTTTCTTATGTTATGACTAACCTTTTTAATTCGGAAAATTTTTGATAGAGGTACAGAAGTATCCAATTACTAAGTTTATGATGGATGGATTGAGTATTGAGTTTTAACGCTCAGTTAAAAAGCATTCATTTGTGTTCCATTTATAACTTAGGATTCCGCCTTTCGTCTTTTTTCTGTGTAGGTAGAAAGTGGTAGAGAATACGTTTACGGGTTACGAAAAAAAGAACATGGTATCCACGTTTTCCATCACTGATTAGTATCTGGAAATTGAATTAGCTGACGATCTACAACATCTGACAGATGGTAAATATCTTGGCCATTGCATTGTAAAGGCTTCTGTATTATCACGGCATACGGTGTAATATCGCATAGAACTAGGATGGTTGTCGATATTGCAATACTTTTTGTAATATGCTGCCAAGAAAAGGCACTTCCAAACTTGAATATGGGTCGGTACAATAGCCTGTTAAACACGAAGGAAGGCTGAAAGCAAGTCGTTTAAGTAAGGCTGTATTGAGATTCCTTCACCTCTTTGTAAACTATCAGGTTTATTTTCAGTCGTTGTGTACCTAAGTACTATAAGTCTATTGCATTACTCAGTTGATGCCGGTGTTTTTAGTTACTTCAAATATCAGCAAGACGTCAGATTTCTCTGCTCTGACACGTCATAATATTATTATGTCAAAAACACCCCTCCCGTGCCGCTCCCATACCTCAGGCACGGACTGAGTTAATCGCTAGAACTATAGTATTTAAGTACCTACACAACGACTGAAAATAAACCTGATAGTATACAAAGAGGCGACGGAATCTCAATATACCTTTAAGTATGTTCGTTTTTCGTGGGCATATTATTTTTGATAATACACCTTTTCACTCTGCCCGAAATTATGTCAATAAAGACGACTATTCTTATTCCAGTATTCAAAAGATACAGGGCTGTATGCGTGAATATTTTTGAAGTATTATTAGTATTATTGATACTTAAACGCCATTATAAATACCTACTCAAATACAAACCAATTCAAGCAGATACTCTCATTTAAAGCTACTACCTAAATTATGTAAATGTACCCACAAAGTGTGATACTGTCGCACGCTTACTTGCACCTTGATTGTAACTTAGGCTGAACTGTCAAGTCACTCTCCGCAATGTCACAATGGCTTGTAACGATGTAAGTTAACAGATGTGCATGTGGATTGAGTGATCCTTGCTTCAATCTTAACAAAAATCGAGGAAGTTTTACTTAAAATATGTTAAAACATTGCGATGAAGTTTAAAAATTTGTTAAACCTAAGATAAAAATGTTATGGCCAATAAATAGGAGCACTCATACCGCACGCTTTAAGAAAACGTCAACATGTTTATTTCAGAAAATAAAGCCTTTCCACTTCTTTTTATAGTATTGAAAAATTGTTAAGAATATGTTAAAACTATTAACAAATTCAGAAATTCCTTGCACGTCCCGTTCCAAAGTTATGACGATTATTTAGGATCACTCACACCGCACACGGGCCGTATGAGTGCTCTTCAAAATAATGACTTTTTATTAATAAATACGTTTTATTTCTGTTGGGAAATGAGTGCAAACTGACGAGCGAATTTGTTAAAGAATAAGTGTGACAAAACTTAAAAGCTGAAGGAAGAAATTAACCTTTATTCTTTCCTCCAATATGCCGTGTGAGTGATCCTTACTTTTACCTCTATCTGCTCATATGTAGTTCGTAGGCAGACTGAGATAGTATCTAAAATTGTTAATTGTTTTTAACAATTATTTGGCATATATTTTGCTTTTATTAAGGTCATAATTTAAGAAATATCAGGCTTAGATGATTCCTAAAGGAAAATGTTGATTAGGGTACATATGATTTTTTATTTTGTGAGACTGTTCCGATTCGTCAGACGTGACAATGCAAAACCAATGCAATCTAATATGTAGTAGGTTTAGGGGCCTCCGCTAAAACTCGCGGGGGGCGTCCGTCGCCGCGGTCGGCAGTAGCGCGAGTTTTAGTGGTTTACCCCTACATCTTGAATGATAGAAATAAAGAAACATTACAATTGTTTATAGGATTGAATTCAAATTTGACTTGTAATATGAATTGAGAAAGATACTCACGGTTTTATTTAAATAAATTACAAATTTCTCAACAAAACTTTTTTTTTTTGGTTGGACTATAAAATACGATAAAATAATATTATTAAATCTCACATGTAAACTTCTGATGAATCGAAACAGTCTCTCAAAATAAAAAATCATACGTACCCTAATCAACATTTTCCTTTAGGAATCATCTAAGCCTGATATTTCTTAAATTATGACCTTAATAAAAGCAAAATATATGCCAAATAATTGTTAAAAACAATTAACAATTTTAGATACTATCTCAGTCTGCCTACGAACTACATATGAGCAGATAGAGGTAAAAGTAAGGATCACTCACACGGCATATTGGAGGAAAGAATAAAGGTTAATTTCTTCCTTCAGCTTTTAAGTTTTGTCACACTTATTCTTTAACAAATTCGCTCGTCAGTTTGCACACATTTCCCAACAGAAATAAAACGTATTTATTAATAAAAAGTCATTATTTTGAAGAGCACTCATACGGCCCGTGTGCGGTGTGAGTGATCCTAAATAATCGTCATAACTTTGGAACGGGACGTGCAAGGAATTTCTGAATTTGTTAATAGTTTTAACATATTCTTAACAATTTTTCAATACTATAAAAAGAAGTGGAAAGGCTTTATTTTCTGAAATAAACATGTTGACGTTTTCTTACAGCGTGCGGTATGAGTGCTCCTATTTATTGGCCATAACATTTTTATCTTAGGTTTAACAAATTTTTAAACTTCATCGCAATGTTTTAACATATTTTAAGTAAAACTTCCTCGATTTTTGTTAAGATTGAAGCAAGGATCACTCAATCCACATGCACATGTTAACAGTTGAGTGACTTGCCTCGTTATGACTCGGCAGCTGCTCAATGAGTCGGGAACTACGACTCATGTTGCTACAATAGACTATTTGACATCATTCCCTAATAATTTGAAATCTCAACTTTTTTAAAAGACACTTCATTCTGGTCTTAAAAACTTAATTTTAAATTACCTGTAAATTAAGATTTTAATTGAGTAATTGAAAAAAGTAGTTAGAGTTGCTAAAATAGTGACGTCACTTGCTTGTATTGCCATACAAAATCTACGGGAGTCTCGTTTTGACTGTTTTGTTTTGTGTGGTAACAACACGTACTATATTATTCAACATTACGCATGTAGAGTTGATTACAACGTGACCAATGTTAGACTTAACAGATAAAAAACTGGGTGTAACCTTTACACAGAAGATTATTGGGAGTTTAATTTAATGAAATGTGTAAATGAAAAAAAAAACGTATAAAATGAGTAAATTATTTATTCAGATGGTACTTAACAATCATTAAGGCAGTAAACGTGATTCAAGATGTAATGTAGAGTCGACAGTACTTGAAGTTCAGATAAAAAAAATGTTTATAAAATAGCAAATAGTACAACTTCACAGAAACTTGATGTGCTTTCGTCTTTACATTTTCACTTATAGTTGTTGCAATTCACGAAGGCGAGTGAGCTCTACATGTGTGGTGGCTCGCTACTGTTAGTTTTTAAAAAGTTTTAATAGACATTACACTATTGTTATGTGCATGTACACGTACACACACAAGTAAAGCTCACTCGCTTTCGCGAGTTGCAAGAACTATACCTAACTTAAAACTAGGGATGGGGCTGGTAAAATCTTAAGAACTCTTATAAAAATGCTGGTATAAAATCAAATAACTTTCAAAAATCCTCATACCTACCAAAATATTATGCAAATATAAAAATATGTACTATGTATACAGATATGTACTTTTTTTAAATTTCATGTTTTTCTCAATTACTGATTTACAATCAAGTATGCTTAAGTACTATGAAAATGCGTTTCGCCTTTATTGACCTTTTCATGAAAACCTTCATATTTGTTAGCTTAAAAACGTATGGTAATTAGGTTTATTTTTTAGACCAACCCCACTGTAAAATAAATCTACTAATAAAATCGTCATTATCTAAAAATCGTCCATTTGAACACAAAACGTTAAATCCCATTCGTTGCCCCAGGTAATTTCCTGATTCCTGAACAACTGGCCCAGAAAATGAGGGTACGTGTATTGGAGGTAATATCATAACGAATGTAATGAAAAGATAGAAAGAAAATGTCTTTTCCCAATGGAATGTATTGATAAATTGGTTGTACAGTACATTTTTCGCTTTTGGTAGCCATTCCGTATTGCGGAATGGCTACCAAGGCGACAATCATTTATTATTATTATTTTCTTACCTCATTTAAAAATGTAACGAGCAACTAGACATTGGTTATTTTTAAACATAACTGATTATTGTCAAAAAGGCAATCAATCTTATAACAGGTCTTAGAAATATAACTTGATGCTTACAGAAATAACACTGTTATAATTATTTAGTAAACATATTTACAATAATTAACGTAACAAAATAAGTACATTCCAAAGTACATAAAAATAAAGGCTAAATGCTCGTTTTCACCATCAATCCCTAATTTTTAAGTGACCATGAGTTAAGTGAAAATTCCTGTAATGTGTTACCATAGGGGTAACTTGAAAATTGTGGATTGATGGTGAAAACGGGCATAAATCTATTATGGAGTTCATAAGATAGGGACACCGATATGGGCAATTTTATTTGCAGTAAGTACTATCATAAAATACGGTACTATTTATTTGTACTGCACTTACATTCAATTTCACACTGACTAGTTCACTGGTTATCGTAAATAGCTACTCGAACTTATCTGGTTCGTGATAATGCGATGGTCATACAATTTTATTTTATACTTTTGCGTATAAAATATTGTTGCTTTTTTATTACGTTCGTGTATTACTAATTATTCGATTGGTACCGACCCTATAACATTTTATTGTCTACTTTTTGCTAAAAAATATTAACCAAGAATATTTTATTATGCCCTTCTTGTACTAATTTTATTCGATTGGCACCGATTTCCTAATTTAAAGGAAGCCCAAGATTTAGGCCTGTGATTGCATGTTGAGTTTCAATAATTGGACAAATTACAGGCCTAAATTCGTCTTTGAGTGTATTTATATTTGATACGTATAAAATTAAGGTCACTGTACTAAACCAAAATAAATTGACTGATTTGCTACTAAAGGTCTATGTACACCATGTTTTTTAAATGCACCGAAGAAGTGCATTTGTTACAGACGACAAATCGTGCTGTGGGATAATTTAATTTTATTTTGATTTATGAGCTCAAAGCCCGCTGCCATCACATTCTCAACTATTTCTTAACTTAAACCTAACAAGTTATTAACATCATTCCTTCCCATCAGAGAGTTTAATCGATTCTGGTTGTTGTTCCACCTCTTCTTCCTTGATCAAAGAGCCGTGTTTCCAGCCTGGAGGGTACCCGTACTGTCTGACGTCATCCCACCACTGCTGCTTGCCGTCCGCCCAGATGCAGTACACCACGTTTGTGCCGACGAGCACTGCGAAACACACCCAGAAGGCCCCTCGCCATTCTGATAGGGTAGACTGAAAAAAACAATTAAATAGTTAAATGATTTTTTTTATCTTAGGGCCCTCGCCCACGGTGACTTTTTGTAGCGATGCAGTCGCGCTGCTGTAGCGCGTTAGTAGCGCGTTAGCATCACTTCTGTAGTGCGTTGCAAATGCGACTAACGCGCGTTAGTAGCAATTCTGTCGCGAGTTTCGTAAACTTCGCCGTGGGCGAGGGCCCTTAGAGCGACCAAAAATGGACACACTTCTTCTTCAAGATTTGTTTAAAAAGTAAAGTAATGACTAATGTTAGGCCCCAACTACACTTGTGTTCCTTGAAAGAGGTAGGCTAGTTAGGTACGCTACGCTAGGTACGTTAGGTACGTTATTAATTATGAGTGTAATAGATTCTACGTCCTACCGATCCTAACTGACGTCACCCCGTCGCGTGAACGCTGCGTTACAATCAGTATGAATGATGTTGCTCTACCTATTAACACCGAGAATTTTCGTTCTTTTTTTATAATGAGAGCAAAAATGTGTGATTTTTTTATTCATCATCATCATCATCATTTCAGCCACAGGACGTCCACTGCTGAACATAGGCCTCCCCCAATGCTTTCCATGTTGATCGATTGGTAGATATTTAGTATTGGTATTTTTTATTCATTCAATATTAATTATTCATCTCATCTCAGAGCTGAATAGCTGACACCTGATGAAGAAAAACGTAGCGTCCGGTTTCTTTAGGCTGATTTACACGTGGTAAGAAAGTAGTTAAGTGTCTAGTTAATTCATGCCCGTTTACACCATCAATCCCTATTTTTAAGTGACTCCTATGGTAACACATAATATGATTTTTTTATAGGGTTCACTTAAAAATTAGGTATTGATAGTGAAAACGGCCATTATCACCTAAAATTAAGTTAAACTTTTGTTACCTAAATACCTAACTACTTATTACGTGTAAATCAGCGCCTTTACACTTTCTAGAAAAGCGCACGCCCGTCACACGTGTGATAGAAATTGGAGGAGTCACGGACTTGACTAACCGAACTAATAACGTAACCAGGCTTAAGGGGTGCTCGCCTTAATTCGAGCAGAGCTTTCCAGAACTTCGAGCTCACGTCGGTCTTATAAACAGATTAGTTCTCATGGAAATATTGTAATTAACTTTTTAAATATTAAACAGAAGAGTACAGTGTGTGGTTAAGTAGAATCGGTTGTGGACGAAAGATAACATCGTCTATCGCATATTTTTCAATTCAACTCATTACCGTCGAAATAAATTTTAAAAGGGATTAGTTTGAGGAAAATAATATGCCCTCATTTATTCTTTATGAATTGAATTTTTCCTATTAAAATGTGTAGTGTACGAGTAATACCTTGCGTTTTCGTTGCCATGTAGGTACTACATTCAAACTCAGCAGCACATCAAATTGGATATTTTTATTGCTCACTTGTCTCTTATCACTACGTATCCATCAGTGTTGAACTTAAAGTGCTGTCGTCGGTAATTATACGTACCTAAATAATTTAAAAACCTCGCTCTATTATTTTAAAAACTGAAACATAAAGGTTAACTTACATTTGGCGTCATCAACCCTATTAGATAAGGTGTGGCCATCCCCGCGAATGTAGAGGTCGTGTTAACCAATGAGGTCAAACTTCCTGCATAGTTGGGAGCAAGGTCCAGGGCGTTTACCTGCAAGATAGAAATCCCCATTGACGTAAATACTCATTCATTCGTGTAAGGAAAACAAACAGTAAAACTTACGACAATAGAGAATTTATAATAATAAAAATTAGAATGATAGCAAAACAATTTTCAATAGGATTTTACTCGTAGATAAAAAAGAAAATGTAATCCACTACTATATCACTACCATAGTTTGTGGTTAAATAATTAGATTATAAATTCAGCAAGACAGGACCCGGCGTTTTGCTTTACATTCAAAACTTTTGCGAATGTCCCACTAAGTAGTTCCACCTTATTCCACAGAATAATAAGGTAGGTATACCTACTTCGTTTCCAACAATGTAAACTTTTTTTCATCCATGTTTGACTTTTTTACATCCCATGTTTGTTTTTGTTTAATAAGTTAATTGATTTATTTTCCTTCCTTTTTAATGGTCTCACCTTCATTCCACTGTAGAAGCCTCCCATCAGAGCCATGGAAAGAATGAAGTAGGCCATAGCAGCTGTTCTGTCACATCCCGCGTACGAAGCGAGAATGATGCATATTGCAGGACCAGTAGCCGCTGTAGAGAAAATTGAGATACTGATTCAATATCGGTTAAGTTTAAACTATGGAGAGTCCAAACATGGGAAAACTTAAAAATATCTTTATCTTTCATTTTCTATTCTTAGCCGGAATGTAAATACATACTTTAATACATAGGTATTATCCGCTGATTTAAGAGCAATAAATTATATAGATAGTGCACTTATCTCTGATACCAATTTTGTATCTAGAAGTAACATTTTGTAAATGCAGTAATCATGCAAGAGATATCATAATTGTTATTACGTACTCAGTACTATTTGTTTCTTGAATACTATACAATTTTATCATTTAGATCAATTAGTCTCAACTGCAGGAAAACGACCCTCTTTTATTTACCAGACGCAAAAGGGAGGATTATTATAATGCTTAGTATATTTTGTAACTAGTACTTTTACCAAGAATACGGAACTATTCCAGCTGGGTAGCCAGGATCTACAGCTTGACCGCCAATAAAACCCAACCAGAGAAGGTCAAGTTTGTCCCGGGGAAAGTTAAACTGTCATTGGACCCGCTAAAAAGTTAATCAGAATATCATAGGAGGAGTTTAAAGTTAAGGTACATACCAATGGTAGTGTGAATGATTCTTCCAGTCTTGATGGTGTGCCAGCCCTTCTTGATGCAATGGTCACAGATCAACCCGAATAGGAAGGAGCAGATCCACATGGCGACATAGGGCATGGAAGTGAGGATGCCGGTGGTGGCTATGTCGAACTTGAGCACGTCGTGCGAGTACTTGGGAAGGTCGGTCACCATGGTGTAGTAGCCCCAGTCGTGGCCGACCTGGAAGAAAAAAAATATAAGCTTATTAAATGACTACTATTCTCCTTTTGTGAGCATTTGTAACACGATGACTCAAACATTATAAATCATCACAAAAACGAGGGCAAACTTATTTAATTATGTTTAAGTTGGCCTTACATTTATGTCCAAGAGACCCATCTACACCTTGGTGTATTGGATCCAAGAGCAATTATAGGTTCCTTCCCAAGTTGTGGCGTCGTCATAAGATGGGGCGCTTATCATCAAATCGTTTGGTTGCAGATGTGCCTATTCGTACGTCTTATTCAAGCCACTTCAACTGATCCAGGATTTAGACTTCCATCGCTACTAAAACGCAAAATGAGGTGCCTGGTCTTTCAAACCTGATATTTACTAGAACATTCATTGTTATCATTAATCATAGCTGAAACCATAACCAGCTAAGTCCATTATTTAACGCCTGCTTATGCAAATTTTTAGTAGGAATATTGTTTGTTATTGTTTACAGTTTCACTAGGTGATAAAATATTCTCAGAACGTCTATAACTTAATTATGTTTTATTGTTTTGTTTACGGCGATTTGCGAGAAACATTATTATATTTTTACCGACACTTGAAGGTCGACAGCATAGCTCAGTATCAGCGGTCAGAATGGTTGCATAATGTATCGGTGACCGCATGAACAACGGGTGATGGATTAGTTCCCCCATTATTATTGTATTTTGTTCGAACAAAAGATAATGTTTAAACACTTTAAATAATTGCACTGCGTTCATAGGCAGGTCGTCAGGACATCTATTTGAATAAATGTGAAACGTAAACGTAATAAGTTATTTCTCGGTGTTTGTATTTTTTGTAACTTTTGTAATTTATTGTGCACCATGTCAAAGTAACCACGAAATCAATCAGCGCCCTTGACTTGTATGTATGTTGTACACCTCATAATAATAACTCACTCATTCATTATTTAAATTATCATCATATTTGCAAAACTATTATTCAGGCAAAGTATTGTTACGACTTATGGTAATAAACGCAAAAGGTAGACAAAACGCCAATGCCAATAATATAAAGAATTCAAAGTTTCATGGAGAAAACTCACAGACAAATAAAATGCTAAACTAAATGACGATGGTGGCGATAAAAATAAATACTGAGTATTAAACGACTTTTGCTGTCTTTCCAGATCTTGTACTACACAAAAAGGATTATTTAAACATTTTATGCAAGTCCCAGGCTCAGAATAAAGACCTTTAAAGGTAAGAGCAACTTATGCAACCTTTTTTAAACAAACTAAAATAAATGGCATGGTCCAAACCGTTGAACTGACGATTCAATCATTTATAAAAATTAAGACCTTAATATAGATGCATCTAATCATGTCTAAGCAAAGCTAAAAAATCTTTTCACTGAAAAAGTTAGTAATAGATTCAAATACTGGCTTTATTTTTTAATGGAATAAACGAGAAGTTAATATTAATACTGATTCCAACAAGAAACTATAACAACTTACTTATTAATATTTCCGCTTGAAGCTTGTGCAGGTTCAGATCTGTGTACAAAGCTACTCATCTAATCCATTGAATTCGTGATCAAAGTCTTCATGATTCATTTATTATTCACACCGGGTCCGCTATTTTAGACTTCTACGGGCTCATTTACTTTACTTTGGCGTTCCACTTTGAAACTTTTATTTGATTGCTCTTTGTTTTATTATCAAGGGATGAATCTTTTAAAATGCAGTTCAAAGCACATAACTTTTATGGAACACTCTACCTTTCTTCTGATTAATTTCGTTGCAATATGCAGGACATTATAACATTCCCCCATGACAAACTTGACCTTCAATGGATGGGTTTTTATTGGCGGTCAAGCTGTGGATAGGTACTGGCTACACAGGAGTTGCAGCGGTAGGAACGAGAGGTGGGAATAGTCCCGTACACCATACCATCATCCATACTGAACGATATTTTATCTAGAGCCTTCCCAAATATCCGCTGGAATTTTCCTTTAACATTTTCGCCTATTGCCCTAAAATACTCCAAGTAATAGCATTGGCGCCAAGCCAAGAGCAAGGACCAATCTGATGCTTTCTGATAGATCTAAGTCGGAAGCCATTTGCTGGTAAACATAATAAAAGTACATGTTATTCTAGTCACGGTTTCAGGAAATATCTATTTTTAGAATGCATACATAATGGAACAATACTTGAAATGTAAACAGACTGTTGCGAGATAATTTTATATTGAACATAATTTAATCTGATGAGCTCAGAAAGTAGGTGCTCAAGAGTACGCCTTGACAATGGATTGCTCAAGACATACCTAAACTTGATTAAAATTTATTTTTTGCACTTTATAGAAATGCGAGCGAACTTTGATTATAACATAACAAAAAGAAAATCAAACCCATACCTATCATTTGTGGTGTCTCTACCAGTAAGTACGATTTATAAAGAGCTCTATGTGGGTACGATATAATAGGTAAAAAAAACTTGTGTGAAATGGCCCTTAGGTAGTGAACATGCATTTATTTCCATAAAAATTAACCAAAGTCACTTGCTTTAGTTAAGATTAATGACACGCACATGAATTGAGCATCCAGATTCCAGACAACATTTATTATTATTACACATGATGTTGCAAAATAAGATGTTACAGTACTTATTTAGCTCAATACGAATAATATGCAACCTGTCCTAAATATTGTTCAGGTTTATGCTCAAGTTTAGTTTTCTTCACAGTTTTTCCCTTATGCTTCAACCACACCAACGCGTGCAGATCGCCATCACCGGTGCGATATAAGGCCAATGGTGCGAAATAAGGCGCAATCATAGGGAAATGACAGTTCATGCGACCTGTCATTTCCCTATGATCGCGCCGGCTATGGCGATCAACACGCGTTGGTGTGGTTAAAGCTTTAATTGAAAAATAGTTTATTTAACTTACCGCAGCACAAACTAAGGCCCAGGCGGGCGCTGATCGAAGGATGGCCTTCCACGGCACAGGGTCTTTGGCAGACTTGTTCTCAGATGTAGTCACGTGGGTGTTCAGATAGCTCAGCTCCTTCTTCGAAATGTAGGGGTGGGTGTTGGGCGTGCTGTAGCACAGAAGACTCTAGAATAATAATGTAGTTATAGTTTGAATGTTTATAGTTTCAAAACTTGAATCTTAAGCATTTGAACGCCAGCAGAAAAAAAGGACGCAATATTTGACCACTACCATAGTGACTTATAAAGCTTCAACCACACCAACGCGTGCAGATCGCCATCGCCGGCGCGATCATAGGCCAATGACAGGTCGCGTGAAGGTTCGGCCAAACCAACGCGATCAACCGCGATCAGCCGGCGTGCAGCGATGGTGACCAGACCTAAATGCATTGATCGCCATCGCGGCACGCCGGCTGATCGCGTTGGTTTGGCCGAACCTCGACACATGACAGTCCGCGCGACCTGTCATTGGTCTATGATCGCGCTGTGATCGTGCAGGCGATGGCGATCTGCACGCGTTGGTGTGGTTGAAGCTTTAGTTATGCCCCTACTCTTTAGCTAAAGAATGGAGGTCAGAAGTGTAAAATAAATTTCTTAGTCAGGCCTAAAAGTTTCATAAATTGACTAATTTTCCCAGTGCTACGTGAGTTTTAACATACTCGTAATATACGACCCTTTTCACACTAGCTATTATTTAGGCACTGTTGCGGCGAGACAGTTTGGTTGTTTGTAAATAAATCGCCGCGTGTACTCGCCATGTGGACGCCACGACCTCGCCTTGCCGAGAAAGGAAAACAATTTTGCATGGTAGAGTAAGTACGTATGTTCAATTATTGTTCATGGATAAAATGATTGGATTTTACAATTTCCTAATTAATACGCTTTGAAGCGTAGTTTCGTCAACTCTGAGAGGCATTTTTAGAAGGTTTATAAACTGCTAAAATTGGGTTAAAAAGTGTACATTTTTAAATAACTTACCCATAATGTGAACCAGAAAAGACCAAACCCTCCGAAGAAGTAGAACACATAAGCCCAGTCTCTGCCTTCGTCCAGCAGCACTCCAGACATGTATGAACCGAAAATGTTTCCTATCTGTGCTCCCCCGAACACCAAGGCACCTTGGAACCCTCTTTCGTGAGGGGGCACCCATCTCGCCAGCATTATCATGAGTGCTGGCATCGTTGGTCCCTGAAGATAGTTAAATTAAGTTAATCATGGAGGTTTTATCTAGTCAGGTATAAGTAGTTGTAACAAATCAGGAAGGCGAGTGGGCTCTACCTACATGTGTGGTGGCTCGCTACTGTTCGTTTTTAAAAAGTTTTGATAGACATTACACTAACGTTATGTGCATGTAAACGTACACACACAAGTAAAGCTCACTCGCCTTCGTGAGTTGCAAGAACTATACTTGAACACAATAGGCTCAGAATTTTTTAAATCATAGACGTTTTTTTCTAAATATACAACTACAGCTAGAAGATGTGCTAATAAAACTGTGTCGAAGCGCAAACGTGTGCCAATTAACTAAAATAACTTCAAATCACGTTACTAAATAAAAATATCGCGTGAATAGTAACAACATTTTACTGATCTCATACATACATCTTATAGATGTGAGTATTAGGTTGGCGAACTTTTTTTTTTTTTAATTCTAACGCTGCGTCCGATTACCAATTTTAAAGTGGTTGATAGATCTTGCAAAGGAGCTATTAAGGCTTGTTAATAACAAATTACATTTTAAATTACAAAAGAACTTTCACAATACTCACCTCACCCATTCCTTGAAGCACTCGAAGAATAAACAGCCACGTAGCGCCTCCAGCTCTGATCACGACTGGAGTCAAGAAGGTAAACAAGGCTGTGCTTAGTAACCCTAATCCTAAGGTCCATTTTCCTCCAAACTTCTCAGCCAAGTAACCACCGAGGACTTGTGTTGACGCATACCCGTAGTAGAAGCCACTGAGGATAAGGCCTTGCGTTTTTTCGTCCCATTCGAACATTGCATACTGGAACAAATAGAATAAATTACCATTTGGATGTTATTTGTGTTTGATGTGAAGCTCAAACATTTTAGTAACTTTATGATTCTGTGATATTATTGAAAATTGTATCCTACTTTTTTATCCAGGGGGGTGAATCGGGTATCATGCGAGTACCAACGCACTTTACCGCAGCATTAAAATTGGCAAACCTACTGAATCTATGAGGTAGAATGAGACTGCACGTTGTAGGTGGATACAGCAGTAGGCTCTTTAGGTAGCGGTAGGAGCTAACTGAATTGCACTTTATTTTGTAGTCGAAAGACTCGATATTTATATTAACATATTTTTGGAGTGATCCTTCAATTATTGTAACTATTAGGTGTTCTATGATTACTTACTGGATTCGTAGCAACTTTCTTTGCATGCAGCTCATTGGGGCAAGTGTCAGGCTCAGTATAGTTGAGAGGCTGGCCTGTTGTGTTCTTCGGTACGTGGATCACCATCTGGGTGATTGCCAGGTTCAGACATACTCGCATGGTGTAAGCATTGCACACTCCTAGTAGGCCCATCACTCCGAGTACGTAACGCTGGGGTATCACGCAACCTGGGAAAAGAGGTTTTGTTTATTATCCTTCTTATAATATCTACTCGTAGAGCAGAGGTAATTTGGCTAAGGTGCCTTCAGTAGAATCTAAGTGACTTCTTTTTGGATTCGAGCTGGAAAATAAGAGGCACATTATTGCACATCGTCCCCGAAGATTGCACATTAATATGCTAGTTTCAGCCAAAATATTAAAATACAATATTACGATTATTTGAACGTGTATCAGCACACGAGTATAATATTTGCCTAAAACCTAAATCCCTTGTTATTTACTACCTGCCTATCTAGGCTATTTTACAGAATCTGGAAAAGCTTAGAACTAACCAATTTATCACAACCCAGGACTCTGGAAGCTTTGTGTTACCACAGACATATAGAACAATATCCCTGACTACACAATATTAACGATTAGTTTGTAGGTTGAGATAGCTAAGGTTTTTACTATAGAACGAAGCTGAATCTCGATTCAATATCAATCATAATTCGGTTCAGTGATTGGTCTAAATACTCGTATTGAAATTCAGACTATGATAAGCTACAAATTGCTGGAAATTGAATCGAAGTTCGAGCTTCGTTTTGTGATACGTAACTGCATGTCTTCTAATATAATATTGCTCATCCTCATGTTCCAGATCATGTTGCCAGTGTACTTTATGAAATGTCAAGGTGTTAATTGGTTAAAATAAGTGCTATTTAATTTTAGCAACAAAAATATACTGATATGCTATCCAGATTTTTATGCAATAATAAGTATGCTCGAATAGAAAACATTATTCGTCGTCTGCCTCTTTTGTTAGCACTTTAACGAAGTTTGTGTCTTAAAATAAACACCCGTTAAACAATAAGCTGACTACGAGGACACGGAACCGGTTGTGTGCGCAAGCGCCGCCTTATCCAATACTTATGCTCTTTGACTTTTTAGACTGCGTTTGTACTGGTTGTGATACGCATATTATGCAAACAATCAAACTTTTTAAGAGAGACAAAAAGCTTCTTAAAAACTAAGTTTACTTACAGTAATTTGTATGTAGATTACAATAGGTACTGTAGTGGCTCGATGGACTTCGTGAGTGCTTCGTTTTGTTGATACAATTAATAATATTTGATAATAAGGGGTAAAATGTGGAATATTATTATTTACAATACATATTTACGAATTCGAGTCGTGAAAATGCATCATGCACGTGTAAAATCGAGAGCGAGAGCAAAAGAAAAACAATAGAATATCGAAATTTATCGTGTAGAAAATAATGGAATTTTCTGGGTGGCCAGTGTCGCGCGTGACAAAGGAGCAACATCTACGCCTTGGTATTAAACTTCTTTTCAGTAAAAAAATAATTTTATTGTAATGCAGGCAGCAGGAGACATTAATTTACGAGTTTAACTCGACACTGGCAAGAGGCATAGCATAGCCTTAAAAAAATTACGACTTAACATCGATATTAGATCAAGACATCCTACATCAAAATTTCAGTTTAGCAAAAATTATAAGTAGGTACCTAACGAAGTGTCACATCTTGACCGACAGTATAAACTGACACAATCATGGTACCACAGAAGATAGGTATTAACTTTTCTTTAAAGCTGTTAACAATGTATTACGACTGGCATTTTATTTTTTCGTCCCTTTTTACAAGCTTTTTATTACTTTCACATGTCTGGTGTCTGTCGTCAAATCTTGCAACTTAAAATTGACCCACTTCCCGGTTTCCTATTGAGCTGAAATTTTGCATACATGTGTAAGTCCGATGACAATGCAATATTATGGTACCATTGAGCTGGTCTGATGATGGAGTCGGGAGGTGGCCATAGGAACTCCTAAACAAAACGGCGGAAACTCATCGAGTTTGGGTTCGTTGGATTTGTCTTTTCGAGCACTTTAGTGTTATTTCTTTTGTGCACTTGCGTATGCATGTGTCAAATTACCATATGCGATGATCTCACAATGTCTTGAAAAACATGTGACTGCTAATGAAAAAATATTGTTTTGTTTTTGTATTTTATTTCTTAATTGTGAACATACTGCTTCTTAGCAGTATGTTCACAATCTTTCGGCTAATCACGAGTCAGATTGTAATCTAACGGTTTTACAATATTACTGTGACATATCTATTATTTAGTAAAGACCCATGCCTCAATAATGCGGTACTAAGTTTAATCAGACGTTCAACTCGAAATATTAATATGAATAAACATAAGATATTGGTACAGAACCAGTTGCCTACGCAATATGCCTATACCAGTCCTTTAATCTAACAAGCCCTTTACTTTAGAACTTTGCATCAGCATCTTGTGTAATATCAATTAAAATACGTGTAGAGACGATTATGTTTTATTTAAATTAGTGTAAAAATACTAATCACAGAAAATCTGGTATCAATTTGCATCAAAGTTAATTGATACTTAACGTTATCTACTAATCCTAAAAGATCCGTGTTTTAGTTAGATTATTACTAATATAACATTGTCAATGGACTTGACATATTATTTTTGTTGATTAGATTTTGTAAAACGAGTGTAGTGTTCTTTAATTAGGACATAGCACGCAGCAACTACCACTGCATTGCAGGTTTGCAAGACGCCTAATGCCTTCGTATTCTAGAATAAGTAAACGGTTAACATAAGCAGTAAGTACAATAATTATAAGAGATAAAAATACATTTAAATCTAAATAAAGAAAATAAGGATGAATCTTGAACAGGATAATATGTATTCAAATTCATTGTACAGCACTTTAATTTTGTAGTAACAAAATTACCTAAACCATCTCACTGAATGTCCACAGCTACAGGAACTGACTTGAATATTTTATAGAAATAAGATCTCAGATTGACTCAGTATTTCTAAGACGTCCTTTGTGTAAGCCTTGTACTGTTTATGCGGGCCAGACGATAGCAATTTCGTTTTCACTATGATTTTCCTTGTTTATCATGAATTAATAAACGATTTAAGATGTATGTCAAAATAACCAGTTCATTAACATATTTTACGAAAATAATACATATAATTTGTAGGTAAGTATTTCCGCAAGATATCCGCACATGTCACTTCATCTGTTTTTATAATATTTAGCTTTGTTTTAATAAACCAGTATTAACTCATTTTCACCCATATTTTCTCTATCCCGTCTGAGCTAAAACTTTTACCATGCACATGCACGATGAAATAAACTACCAGATAACTGTAACTTACACATCTAAGTTACAGTTATCTGGAAGTTCATTTTATTTCTAAAGGTTAGTTAAACTTCCCGCCAACTTCGCGGCTCCAGTGCAGACTAAATGTAATATTTGAACGCAAAGTTCTGAAACTTTGTCGTGACGTCATGAATTGTAGTAAGTTTCAGGATTACTCTGGCGGGGTAATTACTCGTACTTACCAAGTTGCATCTCTTGTAATGGGTATGAAAGTGCTCAACCGCTTTTTATCATAATTTGACTTTTAAAAATTTACAGAACTTTAATGTATACTAGCGGCCGCCCGCGACTTCGTACGCGTGGATCCCGTTTTACCCCCTTCATCTATCTTACGCGGTTTATATTTTTTCATACAAATGTTTTTTCCCGCTAACTCCCGTTCCCGTTAGAATTTCGCAATATCCAGTTGTAACTAAGCTTTAAGTTTACTAAGGTACCTGCATGCCAAATTTCAAGCGTCTAACTTAAGCGGTTTAGATTTTTCATACAAAAGGATTTTCCCGGTAATTCCTGTTCCCGTGGGAATTTTGCAATATCCTGTTGTAACTAAGCTTTAAGTTTACTAAGGTACCTGCATGCCAAATTTTAAGCGTCTAACTTAATTAAGCGGTTTAGATTTTTTCATACAGATGTTTTTTCTCGCTAATTCCCGTTCCCGTAGGAATTTTGCAATATCCTGTTAAAACTAAGCTTTAAGTTTATTAAGGTACCTGCTTGCCAAATTTCAAGCGTCTAACTTAAGCGGTTTAGATTTTTCATACAAAAGGATTTTCCCGCTAATGCCCGTTCCCGTGGGAATTCCTAAGTATCCTATAACCTGCCCAGGAGTATGAAGAATAATTGTACGAAGTTTCGTTAAAATCCGTCGAGTAGTTTTTGTTTCTATAAGGAACATACAGACAGACAGACAGACAGACAGACAGACAGACAAAAATTTTACTGATTGCATTTTTGGCATCAGTATCGATCACTAATCACCCCCTGATAGTTATTTTGAAAATATATTTCATGTACAGAATTGGCCTTTCTACAGATTTATTATAAGTATAGATTTTAGGTTGGACAACTGAATTTTATTTTGTTACGCTAGCGTGTAATATTTTGTTATGATAAACAAAGAAGAAGAAATTGCAGGCATGCTTATTAGGTGCCTATATTAAAACAGCCATTGAAGAGCAACAAAAATTTGCACATTCAAACAGGTATATTTTTACACTATTTTCAATCTAAATACACTCGGCATCAAATAAATCGCACCTCCCGCGACAAGTACTTATCAAACGTATGCATCCCCACTTCCCACCAACATTGGTACCATTTGAAAGCCTAGTTCTAAACTTCATTTCATTAAAGGAAAGCTTTTTACCCCAAAAATGTGTCTTTACAAGGATCCAGAGTCACTTCTTCAAAAAATAGGTAGTTACGGTATAGCCATTTTTTATGACTATACAACTGTTAAGTTGGGATTAATCGCTATCCATCTGTTAAAGAGGACACGTGAGATCTTTATTTGGTTTTATAACCATAAAAATTGGTCTAATTGATCCCAGAGGTGAGCCCAAAGTGAGGTCTATTTTCACGTCACATTTATGGTATATGTTAATCATTTATTTAGAAATGAAATGTATTTTTCTTTAAGGATATTTATTGGGCTTTCAAATGACACCAATATTGTTGTGGTACCATAATTGTGTCAGAAGAAAATCTTTAAAGTTCGCGTCGCGGAAGGTGCGGTTTATTTGATGTTGAGTGTACATTTGTTGTTCTGAAGGTTGTTCTGAAAGACTTAGCAAAATATTTGAATCCAAACATTTTTATCAGGCAAATAGCATTAACTCTACATCTAAAATAATCATTTACAGTTGAGTGCGATAACTTATTTATTTAATATGTATTTGAAAATATCTCGTACCAAGTTAGCAACAAAATTATCTTGTCACTCACGATAGAGCCCTATTCATAGAACATATCAACAAGTTCCAACATTCCGACTCGATTATTCTAATCTCTTCATTTCGCAAACGCGACAGGTTTAACACACATTTCGCAGTCAACAACCTTTTGGGGTCAACGACCCTACCTTATAGCGACTGTGTCATAGGAATTGCACTATTATAAGCGTTAAGTTAACGACAATGAGAAAGTCTTGTGTGGGAAGTGAACAGGCCCGCTTTGTATTCGATCGCTCGCTGCGGAAAATTATATGAGATTTACACGGTGGAAGTAGCTATTTGAGTGTGTCTCGGCTTGTCACTTAGTAAAAAAAACTTACGTAATAATCATAGTTTTCATTCCAGTAATAGGCAAGTTAAAAACCAGCCAGTAATTAAAAAAAAACAAAGTAACTCTATGCGGAAAATAATAGAGATAGATTAATACGGAATGGTTGAAAAAATTGTACCTGCATTGTAGGTGAAACCCAATGTCACCACAGGTTTGTGATCTCGTTTGTTCTAACCCTTAATGTGGGACAAAATTAGTAACAGTATATGGATATAAGAGAAATATTTGCTATACAACACTTTCCTATACAAAGTATAGTGGATCATCGTCAAACAAATTAATCAAAACAAAACAACTGAAAAACGAGTACATAGCCCTATAGCTCTCAGCAAGTTACATAGAGCAAAAGCGTCAGCAACAATTTATTGTCACGCCAACTGCCACTTAGCGGGAATGCGATACGTCTAATCAAATTAATTGAATCGTATGCATCCACCTAATTAAATTACTTGCATTTCAATATTACGATAAGCGTGCTTCATCAATTAAAATACGGCAATGTATTTACTTAGTCATATTTGTTTGTGAAAAGCAAAATAATTTCACATTTTAAATGATAATTAAAGAGATTTATGAATAAATAGTTGTATCTACTTGTTTATTCGTTTTTCGTTTCACTTGAGACTTCTTAAACAAGGTTTACGCTATCTCTTTCTTATCGTGTCAAACTTCATGAGCCTCCATAGTCACATCACATGACTCTAATCAACTGGTGGCATGTGCTCTTATACAAATTGATTTAAGCCCGCAATGGACATACAAAGAGAAAAATCACTTTATTTCGTCCCAAAAGGCAAATCACTTGCAATACTAAGTGCGAAGTCTAACGCTTAACTTTTGAACTATAGGCGTGTTTGTTTGACCACACTATCATATCAGTAAAATGCATAGGTATTATTATTTGTTAAAGTAAAATGTTTAATGATCAAAAACTATAACCCCAACCTTGATACACATTGTTGCCGCGTTTTACTGCACACAGAAGCTAAAAATAAAACTTCATTGTAATTGTATATCGGCTTTGATAGCGGCAAGAACCTTGATGTTTGTAACAAGGTCTCCGGGTCAATATGGATGAGTGATGACGATACTCATTACAATATACCTACCTCGTACCATGATCGCTACAATGTTACCAAACAAACGTTAATCTCTTAACAGACTAGACTAGTTTTGTTTTGACGACCGATTGGTAAAGTGGTTTGAGTACTTTTTGGGCTGCAACGATATCAGCTGTTGTTGTGAATTTGAACTCCATTGAGGTTCCAATTTACTGAATGTTATGATCATATTATACATATTATTATACGAAAATAAGACGGTTATGGTGTAAAAGTTTAATATTTAGGCTGAGTGGCACCATCTAACTTAAACAGTAACCGGTGTTTTTTGTATGGAGTTTGATAGATTTTTAAAGTTTGTTAAAGTTAAAGTAAGATGGTGCAACTCAACCTTAGTAATGTAGTCTACACACCAAATCCCCCGACACCAAGAGCTACTAGGCAGTCAGTGGGCTTAGTATACATAGATTTATAGAATTCTTAAGTATGAGAGTAGTTAGTTAATCGTCACACTATAAGCCCTTAAGGGCTATTTATTTACAAATAATAATCCAGGATGTCAAGTATTCTTCAATAATATACTGCCAATTCTGACAATACTGCCTCGCTAACCGGTCAAATTGATATTCATATTACAATGCAATATGCAATTGAATATACAATAGCGCTTTCGTTTTGCATACTTTATCATAACTTGATAAAATGTGAGGTGTTTGCGAAGAATGCCAAGCAAACATTGTATAATAGGAGCTGTAATTCATTTCAATATTTATATGCTACTTAAACTGTTACTTACTGCATTGCGGTTGGCACAAATATTTGCTATCACGAGACTTTAGTATTTTTGATACGAGTACTAATATTAGAAAGTAAATGTAAATAATTAGCTCAATTTTATTATTGCAATGATATTTATCGTACGAGTGGGTTCATCACAATAATTCAGTGGCGAGGTTCGAACCCGCGTTTCTCGGATCACGAGTCAGTTCGACGGACAGTTTAGGGTTGGGCTACGAATGATAATTCGCAAAAAATAATAAACCTTACAAAATTATGGACCACATTATCTCGTGAAACCCTATGTGGTCGCATTAGACCGCGGTAATTTTGATTTCTATTGTGTCTCGATTCGCTGATATTTGAAGGGCTACATAATGAAGGGTTTTAAAAACTTACATGATCGTAGTGTCTTTGTAAGGGCGTTGTCTGGTCTTCTTTGGACTTGCGTCTTCTGGCCGAGTAGTTTGTGCGCCTGCTCTGGTCCTTCGTGCTCTTCCATTTTCTTATATTACACACTAACTGTAAAAGAAAAATAAACCCTATTAAATACGGGATTAGGTCCATTTCTGTTATGTAACTAAAGTTACATGAAGCGATGGAATGGTTAGCTGAAAGACACGATAATAATTATTTTAGTTTATTTTCCATATTCAACGGCCTTAGGAAAAAAACTGTGTAAACAATATTATTAAAACATATCCGGTGATAATATTGTTAAAACCAGTACACACTTGAATATTTTATAATCAATCATAGGGTTATTGATGTCTAACATCAAATAAGTTCATGTCTGATAAAGGTAGCTATCTTACAATGTGCGTGCTGATAGATTATTTTATTGATAGACCGGCGTCTGTCTAGAATGTAGACTTAGCTTTATCTTATCGCTGCTCGGTTTAGATCTGTCAAAATAAGTATAACACTTTATAAAAAAAAAAGTTCAGGAAATGTGATTGTTATAAAAATACATTTTACAGTTTCTACGCCGCAACGGCTGAGACTTTTTTTATGTAGTAATCTAAATAAATCAATGAAAGTGATACGGGAAGTGCTACTAATTATAGTAGAGAGCGTTTGTATTTTTATTCAGACTCGTGGAATAATGTTCTTATTTTTAAACGGTTGAGGAATCTTTACCTCATGTACGAGTAAATTGTTTATTTTTATTGTTGACCAGCTTTCCGCCCGCGACTTCGCCCGTGTGTTGCTTTTGTGGGTTGCGGCTGTTTTTTGGGTTAAACTATTTTTTGAATTTTTCTCGCCGTAAAACCCATCCTTGGACTTCAACGAACATTTAAAAAATAGAATTAGTAAAATTGGGCCAGGCGTTGTTGAGTTATGCGATTCATTTTTATATTATAGATAACTAACTGAAGAATGTATGAATATATTGTATCTTCAATGTTTTGGAAATAATAATTTGGTATCTATTAGTATACACATAATTTCCTACTGGACACCAATTGGTGCACATTCCTGTCCTCAGACCTGCTATGCCAAGCCGCCGGCGCCAGCCTAAATTAGGTCATACACAGGCGCCTGCACAGCATAAACTGCAGACTGCTTACACATAGTTTCTACATAAAGCCTACTTTAAGAAGGCCAAGTGTTTGGCCTGAGCTATAGATTAAATTATCATTTCATCTCTAAACTTCAACTTATTTTTTTATTTTATTTTTGACGACACCGTCACCCATTATTATACATCTTCTAATTTATATTACAGGGTGAGCCAACTAGCAACGCTTGATTGCTTGAAAACGGTTAGAGGTAGAGACGCGTGGGTGATGGGAAACTATGCATAATTATATGAATTTTTGGTCACTAAGGAATGCTTCAAGAAACAATGACGTGCTTTTTGACGTGCTTTTTGGGTAAATATAAATATTAATAGTTGTGTATTTTTTTTTAAGTTCCAAGCATGGCCGTAGCTAGGGGGGGGGCATTGTGGGGCAATGCCCTACCTTGAAACCACAATGCCCTACCTTAAAAATATCTAAAACTAAGATAAATTATTATAATTAAATTGTTTGTTCATAGTTTGAGAAAAAAAATGTAGCGATAGGTATCTAAGTTTGCAACAAAATTTATAATGTGATGGTAAGACTCTTGTATTGGTTCAAACTAAAGCCGATGAAACGGAACGCACCAATGACAAATGTCATGATGACATTTTGCTGAATAAAAACAAAACGTCAAAACAAAAACAACCTCAAATGGATATTGTTTATATTTTATTGAATTTCAGGTGTTTTATCAGTGAATGCAAAAAAAAGTGTTACATTCTTTGTTCTGTGTATAGATGGCATTCGAAGCGCTTAATGATATTTTTGGTCGTTTCTATTTACTCGTATCACCCCACCCAATAATTAATTATTACCTCACTCTCACTCAGACGTGGATCTCTACATCCAAATCTGGAAGTTCAACCATCTTATTCACTTGTTCTTCATCATTGAGGATTTAATAGTTCTTAGATCCATGCTCATGCACTGTCACAGTAATTATTTGTCTACGAATAACTATTCACATGATGGTGATATACATGGTGATTGATTTAGGAGCCCGTGTTTCGACGGCAGATCAATTATGATAATTTTTTTACTTCCGCCCTACCTGTAACTAATGCTGCCCTACCTCAAATTCGACCCTAGCTACGGCCCTGGTTCCAAGTACTTATTTAATGTAAGCCCGAAAGACAGTATCATTGTATTGAGAATAGCAAGTTCCAGAAAAAAAATCACATGGTCAATGTAAATTTATGCGAAGCTTATTGAACTAAGTGGTCTGCAGAATGAATATAGCCTGACTCACATTTTAACGTCTGTTTTATCTGTATTATATTGTATTACCATATTTTATATTTCAATCATGCAATGAGGACATAATAAGTAGTTTGTTGACTCAACATCGATTTGCGAGAGTAAGGTCGCAGAATAATACTAATGTACTCGTAACATTTTATGAAATGTATTTATGACTTCCTGCAAGATGTTTTTATTAATTAGAAAGGCTTAAGAAAATTAAATATGACTACGACAAGACTTATTCGGCTCATCAGGGTACATATTTTACCTCTTATATTTTGTCTTCAGTAATTATGACTTGACGTCCATATTGACTCATAGTAAATTTAACTCTACAATGGTCCTAGGCACGATGACACCATCATCATATGACTTTGTATGAGCTATTACCACTCTACTATGCTTAATATCACTATGTATGACCACAGGCTGACCTTATTATTGAATTTTGAGCACTTTGAGAACAGCTATAACAAAATTAAAATAAACAACAGCTGTAAAGGTAAAAAAGCCGAATATTGTTTGTTATGTTCCCATATTATTATCCTATTAAATTACTTATGCTTATTTAGATATGTATTGTTGATTACGATCTGGGTAGTTATATGGGAAACAACCTTTTTTATTTTATTTTTCCGACTGGTAAATCCATTGCACTGTAAAATGTGATCTTAAGAATCGCGATTATAAATCAAGCCTCATACGAAGAATACCTTTGGGAGACCTCCCTTATTGTTTTGTCTACAGTGTGTAAGGGCAATATAAAGATAATGTCAGTCGGTTAGTGAGGTATGAAGAATGAGGTCAGACATTTTATTATTTTAATTAATGTTTTAACGAGCTTATACGATAAGCCGTCGACAAGATGTTCCTTTAGTATAGAATTAGAATGATTGGAACATGAAAAACAACATAAATTCTTCACTCTATGAAAGTGGTTGACTTGAGACGAAAATTTTAGGGAGCATGCTCCCTATTGTCTTTTATTCCTGTTATTGCAATAACTTCAATATTGTGATGAATGATCGAAAACAAGTATTACCAAGAAAATTGATTTTAATTGGCCCACTCATTAAAAGGTTAATTTATTTACGTGACATTCCCGAACGTAAACGCGCAAACTATCAAATGGGAAAAAGTAGGTGTAACTTGCTTATGGTGACAGCAAAGGCGAAGAATCAGCTGATTCTATGATCTAAGGCCGATCCATACATTATGGTTGAATCGATAGAGACTTCATAATTAAAGTAGGCCAACCCTGAAAGTTTGGCACTTATTGACTCTTTATTATTATGTGTAGCAATATTTTTTCGAAAGGAATCTGCAAATCAATCGTGTCATCCAAGTTTTGAGTAGACTTCCTGATTTTAGAATCTTGTCAGTGTCTCCTTGTTATACGTGACATTAACGCCCGTATTCACATACAATACGAGTACTATGAGGTCTCACAGAGCGCGTGCACGCACATGGTGATACACGAACCAATCACAGTGCTCTATTCAACGCTGTACGTTCGATTTGCTGCTTCACTAATGCAAGCATCGTTTGTTAATACGGGCGTAAGCAACGAGTAGCCTTCTTGACACTTTACTCAGATATGGTGAACGAGGCCCCGTGACAACTGACTTATATTTTCATTTACTTTAATGTTGACCCCTCTCAAAAGTTGTTTGTGTTTATGAGGTCATTCACCCCGTAAACATAAAGTCAACGCCCCGTAGAGCCCTTAGATTCGAGGGTACCGTAGCTAAGCCTTTAACCTCGATAAGTACTTGGAACTTAAGTCGGTTAATTAAAATTTTCAAGGAAAATCGAGAACAATTCTCGTAAAATTACCCTGAAATAATTGTATTGTAAAAGGAAGTCTTTTAAAAAAGTCTCTTCACAAAAATTTGTAAGTACCTGGTTTGTTAGTACCATAATATGTAGAGTCAGCGCAAATAAATAAAATAAAATATATTTAGAGCTGTTTGTTAACATCATACATATAAGAAGTATCAATTTCTACAATCCAACGTGTTTGAATAAACTAATATTTTACCACAAATTAAGAACCATTACTCAAAATGTGTTATTATGCTGAACGAGACACAGTCTAATTCAATTAAATATACTTCAGTTCATTGTTACTACAAAAAAAAAACACATTTTTTAAGGGAATGGACCTTGGATATTATTCAAATTAATTCAAAGAATAATTTTATTCGTTGAATGTTAATTACTCACATAAATTGTAAACAAAAATAACTCTACATACACTCTACTCGTAACATTGTATCAAGCACTTAATACCGCAGGGCGATATCAAATAGCAATACATTTATTTACACACGTGGACCTTATTTAATTATTTTTAACATAATAATTTATTTACCTTCAGTGAAAAAACTTAATAATCCAATCACAAATGTCACTTATTTCAAATCACTATTCTACATAATTTTAGCACTCGCACTTTTTATGACAAAAAAAAAATATCGTGTGTCAATTTATCAGCGATTCGCGGTGCGCGCGCGTCTGCGGCGAACGTATAGCGAATATTGTCATACGTCTAAGCAGCGCCCACGCACGCCAAATCCATGAGGCGGGCGGCCTTGGGAATGTTCGGTTTACCCATATGTAGGCAATAGTTGTAGTAGGCGCCGGATTAACTAATAACTAAGTTATTTTAAGGTAACTTGATAACATTGTTGTAAGTTCACCGACTTCTAACATAATTTATAGTGACGACGATTTTCATAAAACTCTACATATTAGACACACACGTGTAATGTGTGTTTTTTTTTTCCTATCAATTGTTTAGTGAAATTATTAAAACAAACTTGTACAGTAAAAAAGTTTTATAATTAAAACGCTTCCCGTATTTATTATTAATGGCTTACAGATCTTAGTGTGAAACCAAAACTGATAAAAAAAATGTTAGAAAAATATGTAACATAAAAACCTGTACCGGTTTTATTTTGAATGTAATTGTATCAATAGTACAACACGTGCACCCACGATTTTTGTAAATGGGACCGACGTATTTATAAATATTTATTACTAGCAGATATTTTTCCTTCTATTATACCGGGTCTTGTGAATAGAGTATTAGGTAACTTGATTGACTAGGTAGTACGTATACTTCTTATGTTACTAGATTTACACTGAGTTCCTTGTTTTTTTTATGCATAACAAGGCAGATATTTGACCAATCGCACCTGATGTTAAGTGGGATGCAGTCTAGGATGGTACATATCTGCCCTGTAAGTGTCTATTAAGTTGATTTAGATTACCTATATTATAATAACACTTTTAACTACTGACGTGGGGGCCTCTCAGGCCTTGCAAAAGTCAAATTGTTGAATTTCTCCTCTCCCACTTGCACGACACACGCGAATCTTTTAGTACCTTCAAGTTTCATTACGCCGAAGCTGTTAACAACGGTGCACGTGATTGCACGCGCAATTTCAGTAGGTAAATTAATTTTAAAGTTTCTTGTGGGCCTCTCAGGCCCCCACCTCAGTATTTGCGTAACTTTTTTTGTCTATGGTTTTCATTCAGTTGTCGTCTTTTCTTGAAATAATTTGAAAAATCTATAATATGGAGCCCACAGTACGTCGTCCGAGAGAAAGCGGTATCTCGGAAGTAAAAATAACCAGCATTTAACGAAAAATAGAAGAACAGTAGTTTTTGGCATGTATGCTAGGAAATGATAAGCCTGTACCTGTCTATCAAGATTTAAACGATGAAACCAAGTGCCATACATGTATTTTGAAGATTCAAATGAAATCTACATTATAAAAATATCTATGGCTTCCTTCACTGAGCAAAATAAGTTTATCCAGACTGTGTTTAATTCGCACTATTTGATGTGTGTAATTTTTTTCCCCCTTTTTCATATTACGACTATTGATATATCATTAGCTAAAAAGACTATTGAAAATTAAGATTCTAAGTTGATTTGTTGAATTTATGAATATTTTTTATGATAACTTTGTGAATCATGATTTCATGAGATTTTTGCCAAAAAATGCTACATGTTTTACAAATATTGAAATAATACGTACTAATTAACAAATAATTTACATAAAAATCGTTTTATTGTATTTAAATATAACCACTTTTAAAAATTATGAAACATAAAACCCTAAAATGATTATATATTTTTAAATATAAGCACACATATGTACGGGCCTCTCAGGCCCCCACGTCAGTGTTTACGTGAAACTAAATCCACCTCAGTAGCTAAAGGTTAATGCAACTGCTTCTTTCTAATATCTGATGAATACGAAAACTAAATATTTCTCAAAAACTTTAGCCAGTGTCAGTTGGTCCTTAGAATTTCTTACCAGTTTGGTAAATGACCCAATTTCCTAAAAGTTCTTTTAGAATATGTATAGAAACATCCAGAAATGCTTAATTATTAATTTGAATTAATAAGTAAGTTAAAGCTAATTGTTTGCCGGTGTATTTCAGTGGTGTTCACGGTCATTGTTCAATCTAAGTAGTCGATAAAACACGAGATAAAAATTTATGTCGTCATTTTGTGAACTTGACTCTTACCTAATTTTATTGACTCGAATGATAAGTTAGTAGATTTACATTGTTTTAAAGACATTTATATTGCATAGTCCACGCCAAAATGCTTTTGGAAGATAAGCTTACAAAAATTTCTTACCCATAGAGTTCAAGAAAACTTTATTTCCCCATACATTTCTAAATCTATTGATATATTCATGAACTTTATATAACTATTTTATTGCATAACAAAAGGGATCCTATTGAATTGCTTTTATGATTTGCTTAGCCCCGAAGGCCTTACCCGAAATACATTACGAATTCTCTATGTATCGTCTGAAGATATTTACATCCAGCTCCGTTGAATTCAAACATGTTGATTCATGTCCTTCAATTTGCTTTTAGGGATAAGGATACATTATGTTTTGCATACTTACATTTATGAAATAATAATGTAAAACGCATCATTATGCGTTTTTGATTTTGAGTCAGTTAAAATTATCTGAAAAGAAAAAAAAAATGCTATGATCTCTTCAAAACAGGGGATCTATAATAAATTAATTCAATTAAAAAATAAAATCTCTGTTTTTTTTTCTTTACTATAACTATGTACCTATTTTTTTTCCTCGCTGAAACTAAAGTTAGTACTTACCTAATAATTAATTTAAGGTATGTGTTTGTCGACGAGACAAGTCTACCTTATGTTAAAATAAACTAAATTAAAACTTCCATTAATCACAGTCTAAGATTAGTTTAGAGGAATTAGATTACCGAAAAAAACCAGAAATATCTGGTATTTTTGTCGTCCAAAACTGGTTATTTAAAATTTAAATACATAAAAAAGTTTACGGCTTGGAAACTATGCACGGGACCTTCAACGCTAATAAGTATACCAAACTAGTTTTTGTTAAGTTTTTTGCGAAGCCCCGTAAATCAGGCAGGTAATAAACTTTGTAGTAGTATTGACCATCTTGGTCGGTGATTTTAAAAGACTGTTGGAATAATGACATTTGGAATAATCTTGTATAGTACCAAACCATATTAATAAGGACAACAATTATTTCATTGCTAATACTTTAAAATTAACTATGTGGATGTACAATTGATTCTGAATATTAAAATTGAAATAATACCTACTTCTTAGTATTCCACTAGGTGCTTCCCATTACCAATATGTACAGCCACAGGATTATGAATCTTTAAAAAACTGTAGCGTTAGCCATTTAACTGCTCATTAATTTGAAGCAATATCACCCTTCTACTTTTTTTGGATACCAATGACTTGGATTTCGACAACCATGATTTTGCCAATGACCCGTCTGTAGTTTGACTCACATTTATTATACACTCTCGTACACTTCAATCTTGATTGATCTGTAACTAACATAGTTTAATTTAATAATAGAAACAATACACCAGCCAGTCATTATCAAGTTTCACGCTGCGCCGTAGCGTGAAGCGATATTCCTGCATTGCCTGCACACGATGACTAATGGCGTTAGTTCCTAGAAGAAACTTTTTCTATAACAAAACACATAAATTCAAAGATAGGTCACGTCACACGCAATCAGCTAATTTGCTGTCTGACTTTGAAACTTATGTTAAGCATCAGTTCATTGACTTTGCGTACTTGACTCAAACCTGAGGGCTTAGTGTGAGTTTATATCAAACGACCTCACTAGTGAGCGCGTTAAAAATATGGGAAAATTTTAGTTCTTGAAAGTTTACAAAGGGTGCTGTACAATCCGTCATACATTTAGGGCTATATTTCACCGGAGTTTCCATCAAACGTAGTAAGCGCGAAAAAAATGACATAAAGGGCTATATTTCACCGGGACACCATGGCGGCGCAACCAGTCGCCGGCTACCAACTAAATGTATGCAGCTTTGCGCAACCAAACGGACACCAGGTCAGTAACTCTCTATAGAACTGTATACATTTTGTTGGTAGCCGGCGACTGGTTGCACCACCATGGTTTCCCGGTGAAATATAGCCCTTTGTGTCATTTTTTTCGCGCTCACTGGTGACGATGTTTGATGTAAACTCACACTAAACCCTCTGAGTATGCCTCTTTGAGCATTTTACAAAAAGTTACTAGAAATTTATTTACGAGAAACTAACTAACTACTAAATTAACCTCTCCAAGTAAGCCAAATTACATGGTTTGTTATGGGTGAGTGGGTTTACCACAAATGGTCGACAGGAACCGAGCCAACTTTCCTTGAATCTTAAATTGTATTAGAAGTCCGATGTTAGATAGTAGTATTTAATTTAAGATTGAATATTTTTCCTGTAGTAACAGATGAAAACTCGAGAACTTAATAATTCTGAATAAATCCGATAACCTCATTGTAAAAGTTATCGATACTCTGACGGTATCGGGACTAGACGGCAATCAGTCTTCTGATGATGACATTAAGAAAACAATTCGAATTATTGCGATATTAAACCTTGTATCCATTAATAAAAATATAAAACGTTTGCTTGTGAAGTTAGTTGTGGAAGTAACTATTATTTTATTAGGAACGGACACAAGTAACTTCTTCTAGCAAGACCGCAAACAGTTGAAGAATAAAATTATAAGAAGAAGAGTTGCGTCTATTTAGGGATAAATAAAAATAAAGAAACTTATTATGGCGGCAATGCGTAAGCGAAATACGATCTCGAGACAACAATTAACGTCCTTGTTAGCGTAAAAATACGACACAAATTGATTAATTACTTAGATGGTAGTACCGTTCTCGAACATGGGTCGTAAAATATAGAGCGATTAATACCATATAGTTAATAATAATATTATGTCACAACAACAAATGTTGCATTCTATTAGTCGTTAATTTTTGCCTCATAGGTAATTAATTCTTCTCTATTACTTACATTATTGTATCGTCATAATGAAGAATGTTCACAAATTTTGTTTTTTAGCTTTCTGTATTCTCTGTTAAAAATAAAAAATACTCGTGAAAGAATTATTTCGATACGTTAATTAGTTTCCAAGATATTGAATTTTAAAACTGCGGGCGGCGGCCGGCCCGCCATTTTATGCGCGTGACGTCATATTACAACGACTGGCTCATATTTGTATGGGTGGAATCTTGCAAACTGAATTAAGACCCACTTCCAGGCAACCGATTAAGCTGAAATTTCGCAAACACATGTGATTTGGATGACCATGCAATATTATGATGACATGGAGCTGATCTGATGATGGAGCTGGAAGGTGGCCATAGGAACTCTATAATAAAACGACTTAAATGCATCGAGTTTGGGCTCGTTCGTTTTGTATTGATGAGTATTTTAATTCTATATAGTAATCGGGGTCTAATGATGGAGCTGGAAGGTAATTCGCAATAAAACGACACAATCGCATCAAGTTTGGGTTTGGTTCAATTTTAATTTCTGTGATGGGGCTGGGTGTTAATATGTATAATAAGTTTGTATTTACAAAAAAAAAATTATTTAAGTATGTTTATATCCGTTTTCTAGTGAGCGGACGCTGTGAATGTACGTCACACGGGGTCACGTGACCGTCGGCGGGACTCAATATTTAAGCGAACTTTGAATGCCTATAAAATCATAACTACTGGGTATTTTTGAATGAAATAAAAACTAATGTATTTGTAAATGTAAAAGCTTAACTGTAACATAGGTTTCAAGTGATTTTGCATACCTAGTAACATTCTCAATTATGCAGTTAAGAACTCTCTCTATCTAAGCAACATTGTAGCTTAAATACTTACTGTTATTATCAGTTTTTAATAGTCACCTGATGATTCGTCCATCTCAAGATGGATTAAAAACAAGGTTTTCATATTCATTGTCCATGTCGATCATACTCAAGTATTCATCTGATTTCACAACTATGTAAACGCATAGCTACTTATTTTGACGTGTGAATGAAATCCCAGTAAATATATGAAATAATAGTATAAATTCATATTTTCTGGAGTATTTAATTTTCTCAGGGTGGACGACTGAAGTTTATAAGGTGGAAGTAAGAGTTTTATCTGGTACCTATTTATGTTTGGTCTTCTAATGCCCGTTTTCACCATCAATCCCTAATTTTTAAGTGCCCCCATGAAAACAAAATAAAGATCACAAAAAATTTGGGATTGATGGTGAAAACGGGCATTAATAACTTAGATTGCATGTATGAGTGGTTAAGAATGATCCTTCTGTGTAAATGATAAAAATACAACAGATAATTCTAACTATTAATGTATCACACATCACATAAGTATTCAAACATTATTCCTAACAAGGCAATAATTTAACATCAGATGCTTTACAACAGTTGGTATTAGGCCCATTAGGTACTTCTTTTGTTGTGATCCGAGTAATTCCAAGGCCAAATACATTATGGTGTCCCACAACCGTATCAACCATCGTTTCCCATGGACCTAAGCAAATTAATGCATATGTGATGTCATGGGTCAAATTTTTGTTTGTTTCAATTCAATTGTCCTTGGTAGAAGATGGTTTGAATTAAGGAGCTGGCTAAAGTTCAGAAGCTGTTGTAATCGTTGTTATTTGATGACACGCTAAATGTTAATAGTAATTAAAACTAAACCTTGTGAGAAAATGAAAAGTAATAGAATGAAATACAGGGCGGAAACAATAAGTGATCTCACTGGATTATTTAAACATTAAACATTGAATTTTGAATAAATTATGAACCTATTGTTGATACCGTTGGATAGAGCTCGTGAAGCACTTTTAGGATCAGTAACCAGTTTTACGATATCTTGTGTAGTTTTTAATATTATGTGGCTTTACCAAATGTATGGAAGCTGGAAACATTGAATTTTCGGATATATCCAGTTTATCCTGTAACCTACTATTAATACCGTTTGATAGATCTCGTAAAGCACCTTCAGGATCAGTAACTAGTTTTTTTTTTATAATTATCTTGTATAGTTTAGAAATAATCGAGTGAGATCACTTATCGTTTCCACCTTGGATATTTCTAAACTTTACAGACAGTCAAGGCTTTCAAACTAAATCTAGACATTGTTTTTAAAGGCTCGACTCACTCCATCAAATTAATAGCTACTTTTAATGTAGATTTAGGACTGATTCACTGACCCGTTACAAAGGAAAAGTAGATAAAACATGGAATACTTTAGATTTCCTTGGGGATGCCATGCTACTCGTATATTATTCAAATGTCTGACCTTTGCTTAACTGAATGGCTAGTCCAGCTTTAATTCAGATTTATAATCATAACACCTTATACCTTTGAGTATTTTTCGTAAACACTCTAAACTCTTTGCCCTATACGAATAAATACTTTTGAAAATTCGTATAACGATGTAGAGTTTAGCTATTCCCGAGTGTAGTTTTCTATGCATTTTGTACTAAGAAATGCTTTTTGTTAGTAAAGCTGTTTTTACACTATATTTCTGTAAACTTAGTAAAGGTTCCATCCAGTGTATTTTTTTAAACATTTATGAATACAGAAGTGATGCATGCTAACTTAATGCATTTTGACGTAATTCGATGACTGTTATATGGAAATGTTATAAGTATTATAAGTACATGCCAAATGTTAAAGTCATGCAATAAGCCTACAATCAGGAAGCACTTTAGATAAGATGTTTATTTAATTAAATTACTTCCAAAACTTTAAATTTTACAAAGTTACTGAATAAAATTAGGAGTCATGATTTGTCGACCCTTTGAAAACCCAAAAGATGGTTTTGCTGTTCTATACCTAAGGTTATTGAATCCTCAAAGTCACTTATGTAATGCATAAACAATGTCTTAGTATTTACATAATTATGTATTTAGTATGAGCAGCACAAGGCTGGATATCTTATTTGTATTCTTCGTGGAGGATTTAGACTCTATTGGGACATACTTACGAATAAATTGAATTTATTAATATCGTTGTATTACACATTTTATGTCACTAAAGATCTCCATAGTTGTTATTACTAAGCAATCTGCACTATAAATTACTAAGTATAGCTGCTGAAACATTGTTATAGAAATAATATAAAAAATAATTAAAGTACAGAGATTAATGACTCATCAAATAATTCACCTGTAGGTTGTGCCTATTTTTCAGAAATAAAGTTTTTGTTATTTTCAATGTCCCATCTGCTTTGGAAAATGTTCTAGCTACGATGACGTCTGAAATCTTGTTCTAAAACCTTCGCATTAAAGTTGGGAATTGCTTGCATTTTTCTTATGACGTTTGTAGGACGTATTAGCAGTAGCCGGCGGCATTGCAGTGGAACAATGAGATCTAATTGCAGATGTGTATAATCTCTGACGTCATTGTGAGGCAAATGCCTCGTAAGACCGTGAATTTTTATACTCGTACTTTTAATAGCTGCTCTTTTGTTTTTCAGTAGAGATAAACTTGCGTTGAGAAAAATCGTAGAGATCTTCAGTGCGGTTTAAGTTTTAAGAGTTGTAGTGCTTCTAGAGGTAGCCCTTCTTATTATTAATAACAGACTTACAAATCGTAAACTTTCTATAAGTACACGATTATATTTGTATTCACTACCTACTGTTAAAATAATTAGAGAAGCTGGATTTGTATGAATACGAGTTACGTTGGTGGAACTAAAAAATAAAAATTTAAGTATGTTTATTAATAATACATTTTATTAAAATAACTTAGGCCTATTCTATATCACGGAACTAGGTATTCTCTGATAAACTACGTAATTACTATTATCACATTACATTTCAAGGAATGTAATATTGTACAAAATAATTTTAATACTTTTAAATTATTACAGTAAGTCACACATGCGTCAAAAGATTTTAAATTATGTAGGTACATTTTGTACATTCTAATAAATAATCACAATGATTAAATCTTTATGATATTTATAATTTGAAATAAATATAATTATTATATCGATACACTATAAGAATATGCGGATGCTATCTTTAAGCTGCCAATATTAATTGGGAAATTAACATTTTGACGAATAGTCTTCTTATAGTTATTATTAAACTAAAAAATCTTATAATATCAAAATTGTACTGGGAAATTACAGATATTATTTACAAATGCCTCGTTTGTTAAAATCTTGTACATAACTGATAAATTGATACTATTTATATCTTATAGCTAAGTAGGTACACTTCTTACAAATTCCTTACCTATTAAATTCTCTTTTATACAAACAAATGGCACTTAAAATACATTATTTATTTGGCCAAATTTCACCAATAGATAGACAGACACCTTCCCCTTAGATTGAATTTAACTGTTTACTAATTTTAGAAAATAAATCAATTTGATAGAGTCTATAACTGTTTTATACAGCTTTAGTTACAGGGCGATATAATCACTTATGTCATCGTGTCTTTTTTAATGTTGGTGAATTTGACCCTAAAACGTAAAGCTATAGGCACATTATAAAGATTTCACATTATTATGACATCTTATTGAAATGCCACTTTACAAAATGTAATGCTTAATTCGATTAAATTCTCTAAATTAAATATACAACTTCTAGTAAATTACATACAAAAGCAATTATCTGAGTAAAGTTTAAACAGTGTACAATTTTGGTAACAAAATAGCTACGTGTAATTTAAATTTAAGGACATTTAGGTCGTTGGGTTTGCATGCACTCTACTTAGTACTTACATGCATGTAAATAGGTAGTACAGTCAGCGTCAAATAGCTCGTGACACACAAAGTGGCCAAAAAGTTGATAACACAACCATTCCAATTGTAACAAAGACGTGTTGCGAACTTTTTGGCTACTTTGGGTGTTACCAGTACTGATTATTATTCTGTGGTGTTACGGTCTATTTGTCGCTGACTGTACCTATATCACAATATTATTTAGTTTGTAATAAAAAATATTGTTTTGTATGAAGTCTACTTGTTGTCAAATACGGTTCATTACCCATAGTACATAGGTACATAACAATGCATCGAAGGGCTATAAAATCTGATAAGTACACAGTCAATTGTTTTGTTAATATTTTACAGCTTCAACTTGTTCTAGTCGAATCACAAACAATTGCATTTAAATTCCTATCTTAATTCAAATATCGAACGTCTATTCACAACCAAAAAGTCCTCACAGTTTTGAACCTTCGCTCATTTGTTTTTCTTTTTTGTTTTTTTCTTTGTCAAGGTCCACGGTTTTTAGTGGGCCGTGTTTCCAGCCAGCAGGGTACCCGTACTGTCGGACGTCGTCCCACCATTGCTGCTTGCCGTCCGCCCAGAAGATGTAGACTACGTTTGTGCCTACGAGCACGGCGAAGCAGACCCAGAATGCTACCCTCCATTGAACTAGAGTTGACTGAAAAAGAATAAAAATACTGAATTATTTGCATACTAAGGCTGAGTTGCACCACCAACTTTAACAGTAACTATGACGATAACCAATGCTTTTTGTATGGATTTTGACAGATTTTTGACGTTTTTTACTGTCAAAGTAAGATAGTGCAACCCAGCCTTAATAAAAAATCGATAGCCTCTACCAAAATCGATATAATAACATCGATCGATCAGTAGCAGCATTTCCACGAAAAGTTTCACTTTCTTATTCATCACTTGAGGTCTTATTTAGTAGAACAAGCCGAATTACGCTAATAATAGGACAGTTCATGGAAATTAAACGCCTGTGGAGCGTCTCAGTGTCTAATTTAAAAGACGCGTCCAATTTTCTGTATCGAGGAACGCACAAAATGGCTTTCGATATTCAATTAAGACCAATTCTGTTTTTGACAAGATTTCTGAGACCACAATTAGCCATCGCTGAAGTAAGCACGAAGTACGAACTAATATCAAAGACTGAAGTTTGAATATCGGCGAAGTTAACGACACCATTGTTTGGAGTTTTGACATTGAGCTAAAAGCGTTTATCAATAAGGGTCTGTTATTGTTCGGATAACTTCGAGATCCTTCCAGAATTAAAATTTTCCCGATTTATTTGAAAGCCGAATATAGAAAGGGAATGGTGCTGAAAAATGGGATCGTTACAAACTCATTAGGGTGTTTTCGTGGAGTTTGCTTATCGAAGAGAACGATATTTCTGTTTGATGTTTGAATTTCAAATAGCGGGGCATCAGTTTCGTCTTAGGGCTGTTTAAGAAAAACGGTTTAATATTTATTAAACTAATGTTCATACTTTCGTGAGTCTGCTGTACAACTTAGGCTTGGTTACTTTAACTTTGACAAACGTCAAAAATCTGTCTAACTCCATATAAAAGCACCGGTTATCTTTATAGTTACGATCAAAGTTAGGTTTGTGGTTAGGTGCTGCAACTCAGCCTTAGTGCATTAGCAAAAACAAAACAAAATGTCGCTTACGACATCTTATTCTTACATAAAATTTTAATTTAATAGAGAGCTACTGAAGTTACCTGTCCTGGTAAAAATAGCTTAACATTATATTAGCAGATAATAAGATAGTTAGCTAAAAAGTAAAGATCCTGACATGTAACGTAATGCAACAGCAACGTTAAACTTTTGGTGCAACAATGCTATGATACTTACATCAGGCGTTAACAATCCTATGAGGTATGGAGTGATGATTCCAGATATTGTTGATGTCCCGTTGATCATGGCCGTCAGGGATCCAGCATAATTTGGAGCTAGATCTAAAGCATTGACCTAGAACAAAAAAAGTTTAAAGTTGTTCGTTATTCATTCTCTGACTTATAACAAAAGAATATCGAATGGAATGGAACGCTTTTAAATTTAAAGTATTTTATCCGTAAAGCCTGTATAAAGAAATCAAATTTTTAAATGGATTTCTGCAAAAACAATGCTATCCAATAGCAATGGAATCGAATTATTAGAACAATTAAAATAAGTAATATGATTCATTAACTTTAATTAAGTTTCACTCGATGAAGTGCTTGCTAAAATGAAAATTAAGTTATTTGAATATTGGAGGATAGAGGCTCCCATTAATTTTTTTACAGTTATTTTTTCTTTGCCTTTTTTATCTTTTGTTTTGGTAAGTAAATAGGTAGATGCAAAAAAAATTGTCGCAGTGCCACAACTGGGTAAATAACAGGGTGCTATGTAATATAAGTACGTAGTAGTGTGTATGTTACGGCTAAAGATAGGTGTGAACATAAACTTAAGATTAGCCGGCTAAACTTAAGTTTATCTTCGACGAGGTGTTAATGTTAGTTTCTTCTATCTTTAGCCGGCTAAAGTTAAGTGTAACCGTAGGCCCTTGGCTAAAAATGTAGAAGGAAATGGAAAAGGAAACAATGTAATAATGTTTACTATTTTTACTACTATTACTAACTTACACTGCTCACATTATTTCATTTTTAATTGTTATTTATTTTATTTTTTATTTTGAATGTGCATGTAAAATATTGAATTATGTAATCTTGTTAAACTATGTTATGTGACTTTGTGTGCAGCAAATAAATGCTTACTTACTTACTCTTACTTTATTAACACGTTCCGACGCTGTACTCCAGTCCACTATGACACTAACAATCTTCACATAAATGTTTCATACACCTATACCCGTACTGTTGTTCACAATATTTTGCCATTTTTGTCTCCCCACCGCCCCCTCAAGCCCTCCGCCGGCCTGGCGCGCCCATCGAATACATTTTTAGCCGTTTCGTTTTGGCTAATGTGCACATTAGCCGGCTAAAGATGGAATATTACGACGCAAACTAACATGCTATCGAACTTTAGCTGCTTTTCGAAGATAAACTTAAGTTTAGCCGGCTAATCTTAAGTTTATGTTCACAAATATCTTTACCCGTAACATGTATACTAATGGAAATTAAATATTCATAAAGCGGTGTCCATACATGATTAACGAATGTTGCTTCGAATTTTACGGAACAACTTTTATATTCATTTTTATTAACGAAAAAGTTGCGTAATTAAGATTTATGGATATGGAATCGATTCATTGATTCAGAAATAATTAGGCAACGTGTTAAATTAGCTATGAAAATGTTTTTCCTTTACGAGTGTTTCATAAACCTTTGTAACGAGGATTCACGGACGATAAAATGATTTCCACTTCATTGATCCTGATACTGGTATGATGGAGTACCTACCTACTTATTGAGCCTATTAAATAAGATGTTTTTATTTGAATTTGTTTAATAAATTGATGCAAACGATCAGCCTTATTCGTTTACTTGATGGCTAATGTTTTATGGACTATGCATATCTAGTATAGTATCTGTGATAGTGAAGTGATGCGAGAGGTGCCATGTGGCGCAATAGAACTGTCACATGTTGAATTATGTATGTACGACTGAAAATCTGAAATCTCACTGTTGTGACGTGACAAAAATACCTTCCCGTACCGCTTCAATATCGACTCAGCTATACATCTGTATGTGTGTTTACGAGGTGTCTCTTTCAAGGCGTCAAACCACTATGAAGTGATAAATATGAGTTGTGTTATAGTATTTATAGTTCATGTAGACCAACATAATGACATTATTAGTTTTAAAGGCCAATGTGTAACCCACTTATTTTTAAGCTGCATGTATCAAACAAGGCTATAATAATAATGTTTCTTTAATAAATATAAATAAATACATTAAAATCTTACCTTCATTCCACTATAGAAGCCTCCCATAAGCGCCATAGAAGCTATGAAGTAAGCGACAGCCGCGAACCGGTCGCAGCCCGCGTAAGATGCCAATATGATACAAATCGCGGGGCCCGTCGCAGCTGGAACCGATAATATAGTATTACAACTTGTACAGCCAGCCGAAAAATCTCATTAATCACACGTCAATATAATCCTACTGTAATGTTCAGGGATTACTGTAGGGAAATTCTACGTCATTCAAACTTGGGCTGGATTCAGACAGATGCGTGGCGTTCAATAAATAAAATTAATACAATGATACCATTTTCAAGTGGGTAATAAATAATAGCACACGATCAAGGTAAGGAAATTCTTCGTCATTCAAACTTGGGCTGGATTCAGACAGATGCGTGGCGTTCAATAAATAAAATTAATACACTTTCAACTAGGTACGCGCGTCATCGAGCCTGCAAATTGCACACGATTAACCTAAACGGTTGAAAATAGACGTGTCTATCTGCACTAAGCTTTACTGTAGTTTGAAAAGTGCAATACTGGTTCTGTTGCCAATTGATGTAAAAACATCGATTAAAGTCGTCAATCAATTTTATTTAAGAAAATAATATATCAAAATAATCACTCTGAGCAGTAATTACTGTGCTCTATTTTATGATTCCATAATGTAACAACTATGTTTTGTGACAATAGTAGGTATAAAAAATAAGGTAATTTTCATTACTAGTAAAAGAAAATCGCACCTAAAAAGGCATCAAAGTATTGCATCTGGATTTCAACTCTTTTCTTGCTGATCTTACAAGCTTGAAAGGGGTCGCTGCCAGACCCGCTGGCCAGTCATGTTTCCAAGCACATTTATTATTTTGTTCCTAATGAAACGACGTGCGGTGCGTGATTCATGGGGAATTCCCCGACTTACGAGAGGGGTCCGATTCTGAGTCCTGACTGATTTGGTGGCGTCGAATTACATCCATCAACATTTGTTTAGGGACAATAAGGGCTCTCTAGACCAATTAATGGATTCTTTAGCTGACGACATTATAGGACGTATAATAGACTAATGTGTACCTTGCTTTGGGCTGATAAGTACAATTCGATACTGGACATCATAACATTAATTCCAACTATAGGGCATTTATTAGAAAGTTAAGAATTCTACAGATCTGAAGAAACAGAAGAAATGCCCATTGCAAGACTTTTCTTGCTGAAAGTGCTAGTTTTTCGTTTCTTTCGCCTTGACCATTCACGGACTTTATTACTTGTTTTTCATTAGCTTCGAACTCTTTCAAGTTCTTGAAGTCAATGAAAAAACTTTTGCTTGCTGACAGAATTATTTTATTCGCCATTTTAGCCACTATCCAAATAGTAGCAATAATTTTAACCAACTTCATAAAAAGAGGAGCTATAAGCCTCTGTAAGTATTCCAACCAACTTCAAAAATGGAGGTAATCTTTCGTATAAGCTATGAAGCATAATTATTGTTCTTACCTATGGTAGTGTGTATGATCCTCCCAGTCTTGATGCTGTGCCAGCCTCTCTTGACGAAGACGTCGCACACCCATCCGAAGATGAACGAGCTGACCCACATGGCCAGGTAGGGCATGGCAGTCAAGGTACCAGTAGCAGCGATGTTGAACTTCAGGACATCTGTCATGTACTTGGGGAGATCGGTCACCATCGTATAGTAACCCCAGTCGTGGCCCACCTGGAAAAGAATAAACCTTTAGTGACTTTTTACAAATTACTAACGCACGTATTGACAAACAATACTTGCTTTGAAGCAGCAAATCGAAAGCACAGCGTTGAATATAGCTCGCTTCCACCTTCGGCCTAATCGTCACTTACCATCAGGTGAGATACAGGCCAAGAGCTTCCTCGTTGTGGATTAAAAAAAATAGAGCTCTGTGATTGGTTAGTGTGTCACCCTGTGCTTCCACGCGCACTCTGAGACCTAGTGATGTTTGTGAATACGGGCGTAATAGTCTTGCGAACCTCTCGTGGTAAGCTAAATATGCTTGTGTTACGAGTAGGTTCACCACAATAGTCCAGCTGGGTGGGGTTAATAGAACCCACGTTTCTCGGAACTCGATTGTTGAGGCCAGACCGGCACCGCACCGCAAAAAAGTAAAGAATTTAGTTTGATGTGACTTCAACATAATATCTTAATGAGCCCTTACATTAATATGTCTCTATGCAGGTTGTTTGAGTTTAACGGAGCAAAAATAGAATACCTACCTATGTGAAGACGAGGGGAAAAGATTGATAGACAAAAATGAACGCGACAAAATGCTTATATTAAGAAAAGGAAAGGTAATTTGGAGATTTTAGAGAACATTCGCAAATGAGCACACTTTACTAAAGGAGATAAGGACGTAAATCAATTTCAGATTGTATCTGATTGATTCAAGAAGATTTATCTTGTTCCAAAAAAGGGAGACAAAAATTTAGGGCGTCATTTGTTGGAGACTCGTCTGAGTCGATTATTGCCAAAGTAAATCCAGAGGGCAATTACGTAAATGCGATTGCGAATGCTTCAGCAAAGTATGACAATTATTTCTTAGCAGTAAGAAAGAATTTCGCTTGAAATTGCAGCGTTTATTACCGCTTTTATGGTCGTGTACTCTTTACATAATACACTGAACAGCAGTATGGTAATCATCTTCGCTTATTTCGAAAGGTAATTCAGAAGAAGCTATAATTTGATTTTGTAAGGAGTTTTGGAGTTATAATCGATTAAATGTCAATATAATCGTTTTAAATTACCATCTTAAAACCTACCTGAATCTTATGATGACACTTCGGCGGTGGTGTTTTGTTGTCAAGAATATTTACACCACACAATAATTTGTATTTAACTATGTATATCGATGGTTATCAAAGAGCTTTAAAATACATTAATAAGGACAATATGAAAGTCTTATTCCATTGGAGGATTCCAGTAAATAACTTGCCTCCTGGCCGGTTCCTGGTAAAAATTTGGTTGTTTTACTTAATTATAAGTACTCACAGCAGCAAACAATAGGGCCCAAACTGGAACGGACCTCACGATGGCCTTCCACGGCACTGGATCTCTGATGTTTTTGTTCTCAGCGCTGGTCACGGTTTCATTCAGATACTTGAGTTCTTCATCGGAAATGTATGGGTGAGTGTTCGGTGTGCTGTAGCATAAGATGCTCTGAAAAAAGACGTTGATAATAAATTAGGATAGATATAGGAAGTAGATACAACACGGAAGCATGGCAATAATACATATTAATTAATACTTACAAAATACGCTTTCATCAAAATTCGTATTAAGACTCTAGCATGTGTATAGTTTGTAAAGTATGTAGAGATATCCATCTGCATCTGCATTGTTAATAAAATATCTAAAGGCGCTTCTGTAGCACTCACGAGAGTAGGTACTTAAATACAAGATTTAGTTTTACGCTTTTTGATTTCTTTGAGTCTATTTCTGATTAAACACGATTGAAAAATCATCTCAGTATCCGCCAATGAGTTACGCCAAGTATGATGAAAAAAAAAACTTAACCCTCCTTCTGGCACAATCGGGTAAAATAAACCTACACCTTGACTAATGTCAATAATATCTTTCAAAGAGTAGTAGAAACTCACCCAGAAAATGAACCACAATATCCCAAAGCACCCGAAGAAGTAGAACACGTTCGCCCAGTCCCCATCACCAGCCATCAGGAACCCAGACATGAAGGAGCCGAAGATGTTGCCTATCTGGGCTCCTCCGAACACCAGGGCTCCTTGACGAGATCTCTCATGGGGAGGCACCCAGCGCGCCAGGACTATCATCAGGGCTGGCATGGTTGGACCCTGAAATTTTATACATTAATTAATAAGTTAAAAAAACATAACCTTCCTTCTGGTTCAGTCGGGTAAAAAAACACAGCCCTCTTTCTGGTTATAACTTATAACTTTAACCAAATATTGCATACTTGTAGCAAAATTACCCATCTTAATTCTGTTTAAATTCTAATTTTTTGTCTATCTTCAACGCCAATAAAACTGTTACATTCTTCGTGAATCTGATATACTCGTAGTTTCACAGTCTGCATTATAGAGTGTCTTTTCATTTATCTTTTTTTACAGCATAAGTCAAACGAAACTCAAAGTAATTTAATTCAATATCAGAAAAAGTAATAGTTTGATGTTGTGTTTGAGCAGGTATTGTACATTTTCTTTTTGTATTAGTAAACTTTTCTCATAAACAACTAAGCCAATTTGTTTTCGTGACTCTTATCCCCAACAGGCCACTCCTTATAGCAGTTACTATTATTAGTTCAATGTTTACTTTGACCATTAGATTTTCTTCATGTTGAAATGCTCTCAAGAGACCGATAGTTCTAAATAAGTTTTTTTTAATATAAATAAAACCTGTATGTACATAACTCGAAAATATTGCTTTAGGAACATTTATACAATCGTAATTGGAAATGAAGTAAATATTATCCCACCTCAGCAACATTTTTAACTCTACGTGATTGTATAACATAAAGAAAGAAAGAAAGAAAGAAAAAACATTTATTTGGTACCAAAAAAAGCGTATTTTTTCCTAAACTTCTTAACTTTTTGAGTTGTAACACTATCTAATCTGAGGTGCGACATGTTGTCACGAACATAGTTACATTTCCACGTATTGATTAACAAAACCGACCCATATTTTTGTTTGACGAGTACCTATTGGCTTTAGAAATAAACATTACCTTAATCACTTCAAATATTTAACATGAATAAATCTTACCTCGCCCATACCCTGCAGAACTCTCAGTATGAATAGCCACGTAGCGCCCCCGGCTTTCACCACAATAGGCGTCAGCAGGGTAAATATCGCCGTACTCAGGAGTCCGATGCCTAACGTCCATTTACCGCCATATCTCTCGGCTAAGTACCCCCCAGGGACATGTGTGATGGCGTACCCGTAATAGAACCCACTTAAGATGAGCCCTTGCGTCGACTCCGACCAATCGAATATCGCGTACTGGAAGAGAAAGGTTTATTGAATCAGGGATTTATTTATAGTCATATTAGAAGGGATTTTCAATGGGTTTTGTTCGATCTTGCAGAAGAAGGATGACTCTACATTGTCGGCTCTGTAATTCTAAGTTTTGTAAAAGCTTTCGCTTTCTCACTCTCATTTATCTCCCTAGAACTCTATTCTCTTAAAAATAATTATGTCAGTTTGTTACTAACTGTCGTACTACTTTTAATGTACAACTTTATGTAAGCTTGCGTAAAACTAGTGTAAAGATGAGAATGACGTGGTAGGTCAATTTGAATAAAATTAAATATCCATGAATAATAAACACTTCGCCAATTTCACGGTGTTCAACCTTAACTTTGCAGTAAAATTTAAAATCATTGTCATGTTTATTTATAGCTGAAGTTGAAACAGTTGTAATTACGTACATTACGTAATGAAAAATCGTAATCTTATAGTTTTCAATCATCTAAGAGAGATGTCTTAAACAAAAAGAGAATTGAAATTCCATCAATTTCAAACACAGCGAATACTTTAATGAAATGAAAAGGGTAGATTTGAACCGAGGTAATCAGTAAGTAGTAATAGAAATCACAAATTTCATTTTATTATCTATTGTATGTATTTAGTAAAACACTCTGGTGTGTGTCTTAATCCATGTAGAATACTGTAGATTTTGTAAAATAGTGTATTGCATTGTAGGTAATTCTTGTAGTGAAAAACGTCTGTTTTTTGAATAAAGCGAATCGAATTAAAACACGTAATACGATATTGTTTGTTGAATTTTCAAGACTGATACCGTTACCAATCTTATTTTGCTTTGAGGTTAATGTTTTCACAAAGTCTCGAAAACTAATTCATTCCATTTAAGGATAAGATTGCGTTATTAGCAAATATACTAATTTATGTGCTTGAAATAAAACTAATAAAACAAGTATTTAGGTAGTAAAGTTAAAGCATACATAATTCTGGGTAGTTTAATTTAAAGTAGGTACTACTTTATATTAAGGCAAAAAAACAGAACCCACCTGCTGAAAAACTTGAGTTCAAACTTAATTTCTCTTCACATTCCAAACGAACATTGAAATTATTAAATCTAATGAAAATTGTGGAAAAATAACAATTGACAATCAACAAAGAAGAAATTAATTAAAAATATAATTCTCGCCGGCCAGGTCCGCGTGCAAAGAGTTTGTAGTAGGTACTCAACCATTACAATTTTATTTTATTAGATTTAATAAGCCATCAAGAAACCAGTGAAAATTGTATTTTAAAACAAATTTAGAACATACCTAGGAATTAAAAATATACTCACAGGTTTTAAACTGACAGTTCCATTAGTGATGAGCTCGCTATCATCCGGACAAGCGTTTGGGTCGAAGTGTGCTTCTTCTGACTTCGTATTGTTGACCATCTGGGTTACGGCCAAGTTGAGGCACACCCGCATGGTGTAGGCGTTGCAGACAGCCAGTAGCCCCATGATGCCCAGGACATACCGCTGGGGAATTAAGAACACTGTGCGGAGAAAACGATTTGGTACATTAATCAAAAGATAAGGAGACATATTATTAAGAGCCGCATAAGGGCTACCTTTTTTCTTTTTCTATTTTGACGTTTTGTGTACTATGTAAATTGAATTTTAATCTTATTTTATATTATTTCTATCATAATGTGTAGTGTGACGAGAAGGCTATAAAATATTGACTTTACCGTACGTTAAGAAAATCTAGCTCCTGTCAGTTGCAATTCAACTTGAAGTAGCTGGTTTTAGGAAGTGGATGAATTATCCCATGAGTTGCAAAATTATAAATAATAATGAATAACCCCTACGAATTGTATTACACTTATTCCATAAAACATAGTTTGATAAAATAAAACTTATTTATAATCATGATCACATTAATTTATACGCTTTATTAAATATGCATCAAGTGAATTCCATCCGTATATTAAAAATGCATTAAAATACGGTTTCCTATATCATTTTGCGAGCTCGCAAAAAGTAGCCGAAGAAAAACATACGAGGCATCTTTGGACCAAGATAAGGCGGATGCGGGATCTATCATAACGCTTCTAACAAGGCCAAGTGTGGAGATATTGGATCTTAAGGCTGCGTTTTCACCAGAGAGTGCGAAGATACGTAGGGATTTTTTGACAAAAACTTCTTGCTTGTAAAGAACTATAGTCCAGTCAATAAAGCATTATAGATGGAAATCCGTGGAACACAATTTCTGACCTTGGGACTTTATTTAGACTAGTTAGGAGGTGAACATAGCAAAAGTCCCCGCCCTTAGCCCTTGAGCCGGCGGAGGGAGGGGGGTTTAAAGGTACCACTTTTCGGTATTTCGCCTAATCCTCGGAAACTATGCGTCCTAGTGACATGACTACTATGAACCAAAAAAAGCTTATTGAATTTGCTACAGGTGAGATAGTCAAGTTTTTCTATATCTTGTATAGTTTTTGCGGTATCTGCTCTAGAAGGTCTGTAATATTGGAAATTTTATTTTTGTCTTACATGTTCCCATCAGGAGAAAATCGACTAAATCAACATTGAGCTAATATTCTAGACCTGCGGGAGCATGTTAAGCCTAGTTCCAGGGAGGGGACTGCACCGTGCGTATATTTAGACGAACCACTTGGAGCCACTTTTGACTCCTCATCACTCAAAAAGTACTGTGCGTTAACACTTCAAATTTGGCTCATGTGTTGAGACTTGCAAGATAAACATCAGATTCAAATTTCATAAATATACCTCAAACGGTTCTTTAGGTATTGACGTCCAAAAATCTACATGGCTGATCTGTAAGACCAAATTCTAACCACTTCCAGGTGACTTTAAAGGTTCAAATTTGGCATCCAGACAGGTAGTTGTGTAAATACTCAGGAACAAATAAAAAACCAGTAAATTTTAACATTTCACAGGTGATAGATAGATTTTAGTGTCCTAAATGTCGATTTTTGAACGTCAATACCTAAAAAACCGTTTGAGGTATATTTGTGAAATTTGAAGCTGATGTTTATCTTGCAAGTCTCAACACATGAGCCAAATTTGAAGTGTTAATGCACAGTACTTTTAGAGTGATGAGGAGTCAAAAGTAGCTCCAAGTGGTTCGTCTAAATATACGCACGGTGCAGTCCCTTACCTGGAATTAGGCTTAACATGCTCCCGCTTGTCTAGAATGTTTGCTCAATCTTGATTTAGTCGATTTTCTCCTGTTAGGAACATGTAAGACAAAAATAAAATTTCCAATATTACAGACCTTCTAGAGCAGATGCCGCGAAAACTATACAAGATATAGAAAAACTTGATTCTCTCACCTGTAGCAAATTGAATAAGCTTTTTTTGGTTCATAGTAGTCATGTCACTAGGACGCATAGTTTCCGAGGATTAAGCGAAAAACCGAAAAGTGGTACCTTTAAACCCCCCTCTCCTCGCCGGCTTAAGGGCTAAGGGCGGGGACTTTTGCTATGTTCACCTCCTAACTTGTCTCAATAAAGTCCCGAGGTCAGAAATTGTGTTCCACGGATTTCTCTCTACACCGTCGTTAAAGCATTCATTGACTGGACTACTAGTAAAATCGCTTCATTTACTCGCTTTGGTCTTTTTGTACCTCTACAGCGTCAAATAGTTCGTGACACCCAAAGTAGCCAAAAAGATCGCAACACGTCTTTGTTAAAATTGGAATAAGGTTGTGTTGTTAAGTTTTTGTCTTAATTTGGTGTCACGAACTATTTGACGCTAACTGTACATACAAAACAAAAGAGGAATGAGTGCTAGAAATGAGGGCGAGGGTTTTTTTTTATCCACAACGAGAGTCCTGCACCTTACCTGTTTAAAAGTTATGATCAGGCTGAAGTTGGAAGTGAACTTCACCCGAAATCCTGTCCTAATCTAAATGTGTGCTATGGATGGAGGTGAGAGAGTAACTGCTAGCCGTCACACAGTTTCTCAGCTTTGTTACACATTTTTACCTCTGGTGTAAACACCCACACTATTTCACAGCTTCGTTACACACCTTCATACCACTCATCTTCTTAGCACATCTCTAGTGGAAAGTCAGCCTTAAGCCTTAGTCTCGAAAATTGTAGTCTCAAGCACCACTTATTATTTGATGCTCTGGTTTTGCCCCAATTTTGTATTCAGTGTTACACTTTAGGGATTTTCGCGCCTAATCTTGGTTAATGTGAAAATGCGGGCCGAAAGTACAATTGGGTTCCGTAACTTATTTTTATGCTTTTTACTGTGCCAGCCAAGGGCCTATTTTCGGGGATTTAAGCTTATTTTTGGAGTAAATGGTAAAGTTGGAATAATAAAGATTGGATATTCGGAAACTTTATCTGGCTAATGAAATAATATTCGTATTTCAAAACTTCTTAAGTAATTAAATTATGTTGTATATGAAGGATTTCATCGAGATCTGAGAATCTTATCAATAAAAAGTTAACACACTTTGTCTGAGAGTTACCATCTGATACTTATACATTACTTGCATGACAAGTTAGCACAAATTAATATAATATTTACTATGTCGTCAACATATTTTTTCATCATCATCACAGATCGTGATGAGCTTCTTCACACTGTTTCATTTTCTTTCAATGTGTATTTATACATACATTTACATAGTTATTGGAATGCTAATTGTTGAGGAAATAATAACCGTGGAAGTTCCTAGAAATGAGCTGTAAGATATATTTCTGACAAGTGTGAATAATTAATAACTATTATTGCTAAGGATTATAATAATAAAAATACTTACTGTACGCTTTTTTTGAAAAGCATGCGCTTGGAACAATATTTTTAAGATGATTTGACGTTAGTTATTATAGACAAATGTATTGAATTGAAAGCCAAAGGCAAAGGTTGCAATGCTCACGTCCATTTGATTTATGTTTGTAATATTTCCAAAACAACTCTTTTTTATCCGACCGAAGCTTCAGGCTTCAGGTCTCTGAAAAGACCGCGAAAAGCAAAATGTTTCTTTGATTCACTTCATTATTTTTTAAATTTTGTTTGCCAATTCTAATTCAATTGTACTTTTGAAACAAACTCGTGTAAAAAAAATATTATAGAGGGTATTCACTAAATATATTTTGATACGTCAATAAATAAAAATAGAAAGCAGATTTTGTTATTTGTTTACACTGTAGAGGCTTCAGTGGCTATTATTCTATGCCTTTGATGTTTTAAGTATACATTTCAGAGGAAACTCTTCAAAAAACACAATAATATCATAAAAGGGCTTTCAAGAACGAACATAATATAATAAACGGAAAAACATTGAGATTTTTACAAAAGAAAAACTATAGCGAATGGATTATAGAGCCAACGCAAGTGATGATAAATGTTACTGAAAAAAATACCTAACCCGTAATAAAAAGTTTTTTTTTCATTGCTTTTAATTTAGTTAATTGTAATACTTAAAAACAGTTCAGTACAGTTCTTAAAACGCGGCTGAATATTATAATAACTGTAAACTGTTATATACCTACGATTTAGCTGCTTTTATAACTCTTCAATTAGTATAAGTGTTTTGGCAAATAATTTCATTCATAATTTCCTATAACTGTACAAAATCTTATCGCCGTGGTATCAACTATTCATTACAAATTAAATAATAAATATCACTTACTTTTTGATATGATCCGCCGCCATCTTGGTAACATTTTCAGTCTTCAGTCACTCGGGTACCTGAAACGAGAAATAAAACAATGTGAATGATAACAGGATTAAATATATCTATTGTTTATCGCTCTGAGAGCAAGATCAACACCGCTTAAGATAAAACGAAGGCAACATGAAAAAACACTTAATTCTATTCTAGTATTGCAGTGTATTTTAAATCATTCCCTGTGAACTTAAATTTATTTTAACCATTAAGTATTAAAATTGTAATTATCTCATTTGGATCCGATTTAAAACGATAATGTTTCTGCTATCATTCGGCTAACATTAATTAATGTGGTCTATTTGTAACTTAATTTCTTAATTAACTCTCATAAGGAAGAACTGACTTGACAAGACTTATACATTATACATACAATAACAGGATGTATCAAGCCGACACTAGCCCATGTTAACAAAATATGCATAGAAATAGTATAGTGAAGTGATACCCCATTTACCTAACACCGTATAAAGAGTTGCCAGTTTATTGTGGAATGCCAGTGAACTCTGGCCTAAATCAGTAAAAAATTCAGACACATTTTGTAAAATGTGCTTTGCAGAATTTCAGATAATGTTTGTTTTGTAAACAGATCTATTAAAAAGTCGTTAGTTTCGTTGATGTGTAAATATTTTTCAGTACATATTGCGTTTAGTAATTGTAATAACATAAGTATTAAGTTATCTGAAACGTGAAATAAATGAAATACATTTACTGCCAGATTAACTTAAACAATACAAAAAGACTGACCTCCTCATCTCTTTATCTTCTTTCTTTGACTGATCTTTCAAAATATGTCTTTTTTTCAGTTTATTACATTTTATAGGATCAAGATTCTATTGGCCTCAAGGATTAACTACTTAAAACTTTATTATTCTGCGGCAAAGAAGCGGTAGATAATATCATCCACTCTTGAATATAAATCATGTCAAGTAGACACTAAAGACAATTATGAAGTGTGTAATATAATGCGAAATAATGCTTCATCGTCGTTTATATAAATTATTTATGCATTATACCTAATACATATTATTATTAGACCTGGTTAAAATTTCTCTGAGGTGTTGTGTATCAAAACGGAATCCATTCATTTAGTATGGCAACGTTTACTAGCTAGAGTGTTTTGTTTGTATTAAAAACCAATTTTGTTCTGAAACGTCACGCACGATAATACAAATTCGGCTTTTTTCTTTTAAAAAATCCAGAACACAAAACCTATATAATTAAATGCAAAACTAGTTGAATTAAGTTATTTTAAAGTGTAAAAGTAGCTTAGTTTTGTGTGAAAAGATACGAGTATTTAACGTCTTTTACAAATAAGTTTCTAGACGGCCATAACTTTTTATTGTTCTTTGTCTTCCTGATGCATTATATTTTCAGTACAATCGTAATACTTAAGGTACCAGAGTTTTATTGCTTGAAAATGAATCTGTTGACACAGACGTCTATACTGTCTCGATTGGTTTGTAAATACTCAGACTATCCAGAAGTAAAGGTGAGCTTGTGTGTGGTCTCTAGAACTACTGAATCAATTTTTGAACAATCACTAAAGCTACAATATTCCTAAGTAGGTATATAATATTTAATATTTCTGATTTCTGAAGGCACAACGTAGCCAGGTGGACCGACGACCTCATAAAGGAGGAAGGCGCTGGATGCAGGCCGCCATCAACCGGCCATTGTGGAAATCATTGGGGGAAACCTATGTTCAGCAGTGGACGTCCTATGGCTAAAATGATGATGATGATGAACGTTGCCAGACGCCACTTTATATGAAGTCCAAATTATTGTCAGAGCACGTGTTGCGCGTCATTTAAGTATGTACTTATTGGCTAGTGAACATATGAATTGCATTGCGGATATTTTGAACCGGTCCCGAAGGCCACACGGTCGGGGCAAGACACTGAGTTCCTGTGTAGAAGTATAGATCTCACGAATGCCTAGGACTACATGACTTACAAAAGCTAGCTAGCTAGCTAGTGAGGTTTTAATTGTGTTGTAACAATCACAGAAGGAATAGTTATTGGAAAAAAATATCTGCAATAGAAGGCTCAAATTGATCAATTTATCTCCTTAAAAGTTTGGAACTAGTTTGTTCGTTCGTTCGTTTCAGCCGAAAGATGTCCACTGCTGGACAAAGGGAGGCCCCCAAGGACTTCCACAAAGACCGGGACTGCGCCACTCGCATCCAGGCGCCTCCCGCGACCTTCACCAAATCGTCGGTCCACCTGTGGGAGGCCTGCCCACGCTACTACTTGGAACTAGTATTTTTATGCACTTCCCTATTCATTTACATTTTATAGGTAGGTACTTTAGGTAGTATACTTGTGAGTCTGTAGTATCCTAATTTCGGCAGATTACAAAATATGTTGCTATAGAAATGATTTCCAGGTGTTACTTATCTAATCTTGACATTTCTGTATCGGATACTCTCTCTTATTTTTCTTGTAATCAATCACAAAAACATTGTGTTACTAGAACGTAATTTTATTGAAAGTTTATCAAAATTGAATTCATATAGGCATGCTAGTAATCTTACCCCTTGTGGCCTACTAGGTACCACGCTCTCTTGAAAAATGCATTCTTTATTTTGTATAGATTTGTAGAAAATACACCTGTATCGGTGATAGGATAGAAACTCAATACACGAAAATATCTAAAGGTTGCTTCGACACCCTATCGTATCCATTTATCTGCACGATGCTCAATGTCTACTTGAGCAGTTAACTGAATTTACTTTTTTTGTGATTTTTGTATTCGGTGTGATTTAGTATATAGGCTAAGCTACCGACAAATAGGTGCTTAATAAATTTGGTAAGTGCGACCTAGATATGTGAATTAGTTTGTTAGTTTTCAACAAGTGAATTAATTCCTACAAATAGAATACAATTAGGTAATAAGTTTTTTTTTCCGGTTTTATAACTTTTTGGGATAAATTTTTCTCATCCTCGCGTCGCGCGTCTGCCTAACATAAAAACAAATGACATACGATGCAACTCTTGCGTTGATTTTTTTCTAGAGGACTGTATCTTCCAGTAGGACGTTATAAGCCTAATTTCTTTATTATAGCTTTCGCTACATTTTGCGTGAGACCAATGTCGACCAGTAGGACTAGGATGCGCGCCACGATAAGCTTTTATCGCGCCAATTTATCGATTTTACTAGATAAGCCATCGTTTGTCATATAAAATTGATAAGATTTTGTCACGGCGCGCATCATAGCCCGGCTGTGGGACGTTATAGGACCAGCTACATTTTAGCATTGCTCTCGCTACCACCCAGTAGACAGGGTTCCTTCCAGCATACACCACAAGCACACAGCTCATCAGTATTCAGCACGTTGAGCAACGATACACAACTTTAATCCAATCGATGTGAGGTCGACTGCTTGTAAAGGTTACTACCACTTTCGGTTACGCTGATACTAGGCTTTGGTTTATAAGGTGATATCCCACTAACTAGAATTTCTGATGAATTAATGGGTGTGTAAGGTTTGAATGCATGTTTATACCTTGCGTGTACCAAGCCTGAGATAAATTGAATAAAAATAAAACTATTTAATACGACTCTTTACTTTACTACTTTACTCGACATCATTTCTAAAACAAATAAAGGTATAGTCATAGTAGAGCCACAAAGTTTACGTATAATTTCATTCTGTCATCAATATACGCGATAGTAGGTACACTCAACACAGCTATTTTGTTGCAATATATCCCCTATTTCAACCACATTAGATTTCACAGAGTTAAGCTTGACGTACCATTGCCGGTACAGTCAGCATCAAATAATTCGTGACACCACAACAAAAAGTTGACAACACAACCTTATTCCAATTGCAAACAAATACTTTTTGGATACAGTGGGTGTTCACTATTTGGCGCTGACTGTACAACCAACAAAACCGCGGCCAGAATTGTTTGCAAACTGCCTAATTACTTTCTGCTTTGAAACATGTAATGTGGTTCCGAATAATACTACCCATATCTCGTAGCTAATTATCATACAATTCATTAATGATTTTGGTTTTATTGCATGATTGTTAACTTTACTCTAGAGCCATTGGTTCCCAAACTCATTTGAGACGCGTTTTCGACCATACAAAAAATTCCGCGCCCCCCCTCCTCCAGTCAAGATTATTTATTGGTCGTATCGAGAAGTCTGGAATGCATTCTCTCAGCGGTCGCAGGTTTCTTACAGATGGCCCGCGCCCCCCTTTAAACTACTTTAAAGGTCTTTGCGCCCCCCCTCACTTTGGGAACCAATGCTCTAGACCTTGGCTTGATAGTTCGTGTACGGTGCTTATTAAAGAAAGAAGCTCAATTATTTTAGGAGATTGAGATTTGATCGGTTTAATTTCTATATTTAGACCAATAACAAGACAGAATCAGTCACTGAGTTTGAGTCTAGTTTCTTAACTTTAGAGCTCAACTTAGTTTTAGGCTTTCATAACTGTAATATGACCACCAAGTTTAAATTACTTAATTCAATTCTGCTGAAGCTAATGAAACTCAAATTAAAATAGTAAGACACGGGTCTTAACGCGACGTTTATTAATTGAAATGGAACGCGAAAGTTTAAAATCTTATAATGAAACTCATGCATATTTACTCAAAATTTTGGATATTTTTATTTTATGTGTGACACCGAAACTTCGTGACACCGAAAGTGGCCAAAAAGTTGACAAAGGTGGTAAGTTACCTACTTTCAAGTACATTGCATTATGTTATGTAGGTACCTACATACCTATGTAGATAAAGTTCTACACCATTTACGAGTATATTTATTTAAGCACGTTCATTTTACGATGTAAATATTGACATTCAACAATTTGGTATACATACATCGATCATGTATGCAGCGCTATCATCTCAGTGTCACAACACAGAGTGCAATAACCCACTGTCTCAACAATTTGCATTCATAATGCCGCCTCCGATGTGACATTGACGACAAACTCGCGCGCAAAATGCGCAAACTTTTTTAACTGGCAACGCTTTTTAGCAATATGACGTCATTTAAATAC